TCGAAATGATCGGTTTATGGTTTAATAACCTCGGAGTAACCTATCTTTAGAACGACTATATATACCAATGAGCTATACGCATTTCAGAACCAGGAAAAATATAGGCGCAAGAGAATACAAACCGTTACATAGAATCCCATGAGACCGATAACTAGAATGCCAACGGTCTTGATCGTCACATATAAAATGGCCGAGAATGCAGTAGTCGTACCTTAAGTCAGTCTCATCAGTTGACTGACACATAGTGGTCCTACACATAGTCTTAGCCACCAAGTCACTATATCAATAGAGAATTTGTAGTATGTTACATTAAAGACCAGTTAACGATGGCATTTTATAAGTTCCCCGAGCCCTAACTAGACATTTTATACTCGGCCCCGGCCGCTTATCGTAATTGTCTTATCGGGTCCCAGCATCACCGGAGCCCGCCGACATCTCCGCAGTTTCTCATCAACCTCAACTTCTCTTCCTTTTTATTTTAGCTGTAGACCTACCCAAGCTGAGGCGACACACATCCGAGCAATTGCCTGACACACACACTTCACCCGAGAAGACAATCGCCTCAAACCTTCATAATGGCGCCGATCCTCACCACCAACCCAAGTGTAACGCTCATCCCAGAGCCACTGACACCAATGAGCTTCGCACCATTCGGCACAGCACTAGTCTCCCCCTTACCACGCGCACTTAGCGTCGCCCCTCAACCCTCATCTCTACCTCCCAACAACCCAACGCCGGTGCTAGCAAACCAAAACTCCGCACTGAAGTACAGCCCCATCTCCCCGCTCCTCGACCGCTACACAAATGGCTGCCCAAGCGGCCAACCCGCCGAAGCACGCATGACCATGTTCTGCTGCTTCCCGCGCAAATTGCGCACTATCTATGCAGGCCGCCAGCAGGCTAGGCCTGACCAGGAGGTCTTTGACGTGCGCATTCTTGAGCGCCACCCTTTTACGAACCAGACGTTTATTCCCGTGGATTTGTCGAGTCATTCGAAGGTTGGTGAGGGTGAGGGTGAGGATGAGCCGTTGTTTTTGGTGGTTGTTGCGCCTACTTTGAAGGGTCAGACTGCTACTGCGAAGAATGAGGCTGGGGAGATGGTCACTATTCGTGACCCGCCGGATTTGGAAAATGTTAAGGCTTTTGTTGCGCGTGGTGGTCAGGCTGTTACTTATGGTGTTGGGACGTGGCATGCACCTATGGTGGTTTTGGGGAAGAGACGGGTTGATTTTGTTGTTGTGCAGTTTGTTAATGGGGTTGGGGATGAGGATTGTCAGGAGGCTGCGTTTGGGGAGGGTGTTGTTGTTAATCTTGGAAGGAAGGGTCAGCTTGGTCGGGCTGAGAAGGGCCCGGCGAAGTTGTGGTCTAAGCTGTGATTTTCGTTCGCACCTATACCAAGCATTTGTTGGTGTTCCTTGATGGACCGGTTGGCTGAAAAGAGAGGAAGGTGACTGCCAACCTTCATAAAAATTGGGTATCTGAAGCCGAAATATTGTACATGGATATATTATACATAGCACCGTGAAGGACATATATTTTTCAAACATTGATTTCAAGAACCCTGCACCGTGGGTTGATCTTCATCAGTGACGCGAGGAGATGGTGTTTCGTCCCTCATCTGCTGACGGACTCGGGTAGCCAGCTCGAGTGTTTCTTTAGGCAAACCAGCCAGCTGTGCGACCTTCAAAGCATGAGACTGGCGATTCACACCCTTTCGCAGACGATGGACGAAAGAGAAGGTACCTGTAGCTGTGTTCTTGACATCCGTACAGTACCTTGCCAAAGCCTCGAAGTCATATGTCATATCCGCAAGGGCATGGAAATGGGTGGCAAAAAGTGTGCGGGCCTGGTTGTGATTGTGTAGATGATGCAAACAAGCGAAGCTGACAGCTGTCCCATCCTCAGGAGTCGTGCCTCGACCCACTTCATCCATAATGACAAATGACTTCGGCGTAGCCTGCTTGAGAATGGCGGCCGTCTCTAACATCTCGACCATGAACGTTGACTGGTCCCGGAAGAGGTCATCCGCTGCGCCAATGCGACTGAAGATCTGATCGACGATACCGATCTCGGCATAAGCTGCAGGTACGAATGACCCGACCTGCGCGAGAATTGTGATCAATGCGTTCTGTCGTAAGAATGTACTTTTGCCGGCCATGTTAGGGCCAGTGATGAGCCAGATACGCTCGGAATCACCCAAGAAGCAGTCGTTGCTCACAAAAGATCGGCCTTGTTCCTCTAGACCTAGTTTGACGGTTGGATGCCTGCCTCCGACAATCTTGTGACAGACGCCGTCATTGAGAATTGGCCGCACCATTTGTTGTTCTCGAGCTAGAATCGCGAATGAACAACTAACATCCAGTTCATCCATGACAGCAGCGTTTCGGCGAATCTTGACTAGATTCAAGATCACTTCGCGGCGGAGATGCTGGAAAATTGTCTGCTCTTCTTGACGAATTCGGATCTTGACTTGGTCCATCTGAGCGCCTAGATCTGACCAGGCTGGTAGATAGAAGGACCGCGTGGATTTGGTGGATGAGACATTTCGAGTAACGCCCAAGTCTTCCAAGGACTCCTGGGATATCTTGGCCCCTTTGACGTGGCATATGTGGCCCAAGCCGGGTGTCCATTTGAGGGTCAAGGCTGATGATCCAACCGAGTCGCGGAGCAGTTGTGTTAATGAAACCTTTTCGTCACCCAGTCGTTCTAGTTCCGTATGAAGAGCGTTGAGGTTCTTGCTTGCATCACGTCTCATAATCCAAGTATCGACAGGACCGGATTCAGTATCAGTTACCGCAGTTCGATCACTGCTTTTTGACCTGACCTTTTTCGGTAGGCTTTCGAGCTCGCCGGGCGTGCCTTCATCGAGAGTTACCTTTTGCGCCAAACTGGCTGCGTCAGCAGCGGTACTGTCCTCAATGCGTTGCTTTTGCATCAATCCTTCTTCGTCAATAGCGGCAAGAATTTTCTCAGCCAACGCAATGGGTCCATCAAGACACAACCGTGAGATCATAATCGTCACGCTATTTTTGAGGTCAACGCTCGAAATTGGAGTTTTGCTGTGGTCCAAGAGAACTTGTCTGACTTCCTTCGAAGCCTCGATAGCCCGAGATAGACAGATCAAGTCATCTGGATCTCCTTTTCCAAGGGCGAATTTCTGGACCAAGCGTTGTGCATCATAGCTGCGTTTCAGTAGTTGAACCACGCCGTCACGAAGCTCCTCAGATTCCATGAAGACTGAGACTAGGTCCAGACGCTCGTTAATGATCTTCAAAGATGTAGATGGTGAGGCTGTGTAGCATGTTAGCACATGAAGAAAGGCCGAAGAACAATTTATACATACTGAGTCTGTCTCGCAGAAGGCGTGAGCCACTTTTCGTTGAAGTCCTTTTAACAGCATGGAGAAGGCTTCCCTTGCCAAACCCATCTCTTGCTGTTTCTAAGATCTCAAGACCACTCAGACTATTACGATCGATACTCATTGATTCATTCAGATGTCTTCGACAAGGAGGCTGAAGCTTGAGATTCGATCCTTGCAGTTGCACTCGAATGTACTTGAGTAGGCTGTATCCAGCTGCTACTTCTTCCGGTGTGAAGGACGCACGATCATCCTCAGGAACGGGAGCCTCGAGCATGGTATCCCATTCAGACACTGGTTCGAATGTCCCGGGGAACTGAAAGAAAGTGACTAGGCGATGATCGTGCCCAACTAGCAATTGTAATTCATGCCCGATGAGATCTTTTACATTCTGATCTACCAGAATTTCACGGGCTCCAATTCGCGCAATTGCAGATGGAAGCATTTGGGTTGTTGTGAGCTGGGTGAAGAAATCGCCGGTCGAAAGATCCAGCCACGACAACCCTACCTGTTGAGGTATAGATGACAATATGTGTTGATGGGATGACTGGGCATCGCTATCAGCATGCTGTTTTAGCTTCGATTCCATAGCCGGAACGTCCAAGTAAATGGCCAATAAGAAATTATGTTCGGAGGGTTCAATAAACTTCTCATCAATCAGCGTACCAGGAGTGACGACTCTGGCCACCTTCCGATCAAACAGAAGGCCGCCTGGGTGCGCCTTTCCCTCTGCATTGAGAGCAAATTCCTCGCTGATAGCCACATACTTGTTGAGATCTTGGACAAGCATCTTCAGGAAACGGTCGAGCTGGAAAAAAGGAAAGCCAGCCATGGGAACTGGCCCGGCGTTGGTCTTTTTGGTCGCAAGTTTTAAGCCAAGGGATGATGCCAATTCTTCTGCTTGCTCAAAATATAGCTAGAAAACATTCTTTAAGCATACAGCTTTACTGGAAATCATGAGTTCTCATTCTCGTACCTCGTAGAAGCCCCCGACTCTGGTCAAAATGACGCAGTTCTTGAATGCTTGCATATTGTTTCGGTGCCCTTGTACCACAGTCGGATATTGAGGAGCTTCGTCCACTCCATTATCGTATGCCTCGAGCTTCAAGACTCCTTGAGGGAGGTCTTTCAATTTGACAGTTGTTTTACGCTTTGCGCCTCGTATGGGGACTTTCGGGTCTGTAGACACGCGTGGGTGGACTGAGGGACGACGCGCATGATGGCAGATGGACCGGTGTATTTGGCAACGATAGGACGGACATATTGACATTACAGCTGGTCTCAAACTGACCGATGTCAGAAAAATAGACAAGCCATGTAGACGCATTGTTGCGCGCTCCAAATTGTCTTGAGCGGCAGAACCACAAAAGCTCCCCTCCTTCCGCCTTCGCCACGAAATCTTCCCGAGCTTCTCTCCTTGGCTTCACATATCTACATCAACCCTGGCTATTATATTTCTCACAAATACCGTGACTTGCGGAAGGAGGATGAGCCAGGTTTGTGAGACCATCTGAAGTTCTATTAATTGCCGACATTTTTCGTGTCTCGGCGCGGCCTGAATCTCGACCTCCGCGCCCAGGCAGATTTGTCGCAACCTTTCTTTCTCTTTTGTCGTTTTTCGTGAAGCCACACAACCACCAAGATGGCGGACCAAAATATCTCCCAGTATAAGTACTCGGCGATGTCCAACCTGGTTCTCCAGGCGGACCGTCGTTTTATCAGTCGCACCCATGACGAACCGACTGGAGACCCGGAGTCTCTCGCGGGTCGCATTGGGATCCGAGAGATGGGTGGACGAGTAGCGCGTGACAATGCGCCCAAATCAAAGAAGACAGGCCCTACAGACCTCGAGCGAGGTGCCATTGGTGAGGGTGAAGATGTGCTTTTACGTGAACAGAAAAAACGCCAACGCGGCCAACCGGCACAATTACGGGGCCAAGGAATCCTTTCAGCAGCCGATGCCTTCGTCGAAGGCCTGAAATACCGACCTCGGACACCCGCTACACGAGCCACCTACGACCTTATTCTCACAATTACCGGAAGCCACCTTGGCGATGTCCCTCACGAAGTCGTCCGAAGTGCCGCCGATGCTGTCTTGGAGCTTCTCAAGGATGAAGAGATGAAGGATTTCGATAAAAAGAAGGAGATCGACGATCTTTTGGGAACCTCCATGAACCCGAAGGAGTTCAACGAGCTCGTGAACGTGGGCAAAAAAATTACAGACTACGATGCCCAGGATGAAGATGAAGAAATGGACGGCGGCCTAGACGAAGCGGGTGGCGAACTCGATGAACGCCAAGGTGTTGCCGTAGTCTTCGACGAAGAAGACGAGGATGATGAGCGCACAGGAACTGTGGACGAAATCCGGGACGAAGACAGTGACGAAGACGAAGCGGATGAACAAGATCAGCCAGAAGCCGACGACGTTCCAGCTGCTCAGGATGCCGAAGAGGGCGATGAAATGGTCATTGATGGAGGTCTGGGTAAAACGGATATGGACGGCGACAAGACTGGATTAACCGTTTCAGCCCGCGAAATTGACGCCTACTGGTTGCAGCGCCAGATCGGTGCTCTCTACACAGATGCGCACATCCAACACGAGAAGGCCGGCGAGGCCCTCGAAATTCTCGGTGCCAAGGACGAAGATGGAACACCTAGATCCTTGCGCGACGTTGAAAACGACCTGATGGAGCTTTTCGACTATGACCACCCCGACCTGGTTGCGAAGCTGGTCACCAACCGCGACAAAGCCGTTTGGGTTACGCGCTGGAGACGAGTCGCCGAGGACACCGATGCTCGCAATCTCGTGGAAATTGAGATGGTCGAAGCCGGACAGCGCGCCATCCTTGACGAAATTCGCGGCAAAGAAGCTCGCGATGACCTCGCCGAACGTCCCGATAAGAAAATGAAGTTCGACTTGATGGATGTTGATGTTCCTTCAGGCCCCACGCCAGACCAAAAGACCACCGAGGGTGGACAAACTGGCCCTCTTCAGCCCAAGAGAACTATCAACTTGGAGAATCTTGTCTTCCATCAAGGCAACCACCTTATGACCAACCCTAATGTCAAGCTTCCCCAAGGCTCAACTAAGCGTACCTTCAAGGGCTACGAAGAAATTCATGTGCCACCCCCCAAGGCCAAAAAGGAAGCTGGAGAGAAGAATATTCCTACCACAGAGCTGCCTGAATGGGCTCGTGTTGGGTTTGGAACCTCCAAGGAACTCAACCGGGTGCAGACAAAGTGCTACCCTTCAGCGTTCCACGATGATGGCAACATGCTTGTCTGTGCTCCTACAGGTTCCGGAAAGACCAACGTCGCTATGCTTACAATTCTTCGGGAGATTGGGAAAAACCGCAATTCCGAAACCGGAGAGATCATGCTCGATGACTTCAAGATTGTGTACATCTCTCCGTTGAAGGCTTTGGTACAAGAACAGGTTGGAAACCTCGGCAAGCGTCTTGAGCCTTATGGTATCCGTGTGTCTGAGCTTACAGGTGATCGTCAACTCACCAAGCAACAAATTGCCGACACCCAGATCATTGTCACCACCCCCGAGAAGTTCGACGTTATCACCAGAAAGGCATCTGAGACCAGCTACACCAAGCTTGTTCGCCTGGTAATCATTGATGAGATTCATCTTCTCCACGATGATCGTGGTCCCGTCATTGAGAGCATCGTCAGTCGAACCATTCGCAGAGTCGAGCAGACTGGAGACCCAGTGCGTATTGTCGGTCTCAGTGCTACTCTCCCCAACTATCGCGATGTGGGAAGCTTCCTGCGTGCCGATCCTGTCAAGGGCATATTCCACTTCGATGGCACATATCGTCCTTGCCCTCTTAAGCAGGAGTTCATTGGTGTCACTGAAAAGAAGGCCATTAAGCAGTTGAAGACGATGAACGACATTTGCTACACCAAGGTTATGGAGCAGGTCGGACAACGTCGCAACCAAATGCTGATTTTCGTGCACTCCCGAAAGGAAACAGCCAAAACAGCCAAGTACATCAGGGATAAGGCCCTTGAGAATGAAACCATTGGACAGATCCTGCGCAGTGACGCTGCCAGCCGTGCCATTCTCTCCGAGGAAGCTGATTCAGTTGATGATGCTGGACTCAAGGACCTCATGCCGTACGGCTTCGGTATTCACCATGCCGGTTTGAGTCTTGCGGATCGTGATTCCGTTCAGGCCCTCTTCGCCGATGGAAGTATCCAGGTCCTCGTCTGTACCGCGACACTCGCTTGGGGTGTCAACCTTCCCGCTCACACCGTTATCATCAAGGGAACTCAGGTCTACTCTCCCGAGAAGGGTAGCTGGGTTGAGTTGAGTCCGCAGGACGTTCTCCAGATGCTTGGACGTGCTGGTAGACCCCAGTACGATACATTCGGTGAGGGTATCATTATCACATCGCAATCCGAGATTCAATACTATCTCTCGCTCATGAACCAGCAACTACCAATCGAGTCACAGCTGATGAGCAAGCTGGCTGATAATTTGAATGCCGAGATTGTGCTTGGTAATGTTCGTACTCGTGATGAAGGTGTGGAATGGCTAGGATACACCTACCTTTATGTCCGAATGCTTCGTTCGCCTGGTCTGTACAGTGTTGGCGCCGACTACCAGAATGATGACGCACTGGAACAAAAGCGAGTGGATCTCATCCACTCCGCTGCTGCTGTTCTTGAGAAAGCCGGTCTCGTCAAGTATGAGAAGAAGACCGGACGTCTCCAGTCGACTGAGCTTGGACGTATCTCCTCTCACTACTACATTGGTCACAACTCGATGTTGACCTACGCTCAACACCTACAACCCTCTATCACGACCATTGAGCTGTTCCGCATCTTCGCTCTGAGTGACGAATTTAAGTACATCCCCGTTCGCCAGGATGAGAAGCTTGAGCTTGGAAAGCTCTTGGGCCGTGTACCCGTCCCCGTCAAGGAAACCATTGACGAACCCCATGCAAAGATCAACGTCCTCCTGCAGGCTTACATCTCCCGACTCAAGCTCGATGGGCTTGCGCTGATGGCTGACATGGTTTACGTGACACAGTCGGCCGGACGTATCATTCGGGCCCTCTTCGAGATATGCTTGAAGAAGGGCTGGTCATCTGTTGCTAAGACTGCACTCGATCTTTGCAAGATGGCTGAGAAGCGCATGTGGCCGACCATGTCCCCCCTTCGTCAATTCCAGCATTGCCCAAGAGACGTTCTGCAGAAGGCTGAACGGATTGATGTGCCTTGGGGCAGCTATTTCGACCTGGACCCTCCCCGCATGGGTGAGCTCCTTGGTATGCCCAAGGCCGGACGTGTTGTGTGTGACTTGGTTTCCAAGTTCCCTCGACTCGAGGTTCAGGCTCAAGTGCAGCCCATCACCCGGTCTATGCTGCGCGTTGAGTTGACCATTTCGCCCAACTTCGTTTGGGATGATGATGTACACGGCAACGCGCAAGACTTTTGGATCATCGTTGAAGATTGTGACGGAGAAGAGATCTTGTTCCACGATCGCTTCTTGCTTCGGGGTGAATTCGCCAAATCTGAAATGAATGAACATCTTGTCGAATTCACTGTTCCAGTCACAGAGCCCATGCCACCCAACTACTTCATCTCTCTGGTGTCCGACCGATGGATGCATTCTGAGACCAAAATTGCCGTGTCCTTCCAGAAGCTTGTTCTCCCTGAGCGCTTCCTCCCCACACACCTTTGCTGGATATGCAGCGTGCACCAGTCAAAGCACTGAAGCGCGACGACTACCAAGCTCTCTATCCCAACTGGCAGCATTTCAACAAGATCCAATCTCAGGTCTTCAAGTCAGTCTTCGACACTGATGATAATGTCTTCATTGGTGCTCCTGTAGGAAGTGGCAAGACAGTTTGCGCTGAGTTGGCCCTGCTCCGGCACTGGTCCACCAGGGAGGGCGGTCGTGCAGTCTATCTCGCTCCCTTCCAAGAGCTGGTCGACCTCCGACTTGCTGATTGGCAGAAGCGCTTTAGTGCACTTGACGGAGGCAAGACGATTGTCAAGCTGACAGGCGAAACCACAGCCGACCTGAAACTCCTTGAGCAGGCTGATCTTGTCCTTGCCACTCCTCCTCAATGGGATGTGTTGTCCCGCCAGTGGCAGCGCCGCAAGAACATCCAGACAGTGCAATTGTTCATCCCCGACGAGCTCCACATGCTCGGCGGCTACGGTGGATATGTGTACGAAGTGGTTGTTTCTCGTATGCACTACATTGCTCTTCAGACCGAAAACGAGATGCGCATTGTTGGTCTCAGTGTGCCTCTTTCTAACGCTCGGGATATTGGAGAGTGGATTGGTGCCAACAAGCACACCATCTACAACTTCAGCCCGCATGCCCGTCCTGTGCCTCTCGAGCTTCATCTCCAGTCCTTCACCATTCCTCACTTCCCCTCACTTATGCTCGCCATGGCTCGTCCGGCCTATCAATCGATCCTGCAGCTTTCGCCCGATAAGCCTGCTCTGGTTTTCGTCCCTAGCCGTAAGCAGGTTCGTGCGACCGCCATGGACCTTCTTTCGGCGTGTGCTATCGACGACAATGAGGATCGCTTCCTGAACGCCGATGTTGAAGAGCTCGCCCCCTTCTTAGCCGTGTCCATGAGCAGACCCTTGCCACGTCGCTTTCTCACGGTATTGGCTACTACCATGAGGCCCTTACTGCCACCGACAAGCGCATTGTCTCGCACCTGTTCAGCATCGGTGCGATTCAAGTGATGTTGGCCTCTAGGGACGTGTGTTGGGAATTAGACATCACAGCTCATCTGGTCATCGTTATGAATACTCAATTCTTTGATGGCCGTGAGCATCGCTACATCGACTACCCCATCAGCGAAATTTTGCAGATGTTTGGCAAAGCATCTCGTCCAGGCCAGGACAAGCTTGGTCGAGGTGTTCTTATGGTGCCCGCTGTCAAGCGTGACTACTACAAGAAGTTCCTCAACGAGGCCTTGCCGGTCGAGAGTCATTTGCAGGTTTACCTGCACGATGCCTTTGTGACCGAAGCAAGCACAAGGACCATCTCCTCCACGCAAGATGCGGTTGATTGGATGACATATACCTATTTCTATCGCCGTCTTCTTGCAAATCCCAGCTTCTACGGTCTCAGTGATGTCAGCCACGAGGGTCTCAGCACCTTCCTGTCAGAGCTTGTGGAGAACACATTGAAGGAGCTGTCTGAAGCCAAGATTATCGACCTTGATGAGGAAGATGACAGCGTTTCGCCTCTGAATGCCGCTATGATTGGAGCTTACTACAATATCTCCTTCATTACTATGCAGACCTTCCTGTTGTCTCTTTCAGCCCGCACCAAGCTCAAGGGTATCTTGGAGATTGTCACTTCGGCGACCGAGTTCGAATCGATTCAGATGCGGCGTCATGAGGCTCACATTCTCCGCCGCGTATATGACCGTTGTCCCGTTAAGATGGCCGAGGTCTCCTTTGACTCGCCGCACTTCAAGGCATTTGTTCTCCTTCAGGCCCACTTCTCGCGCATGCAGCTTCCTCTTGATCTGGCCAAGGATCAGGAAGACATTATCCGCAAGGTTCTCAACCTGCTCAGCGCATGTGTGGACGTCCTCTCATCCGAGGGCCATCTTAACGCCATGAACGCCATGGAGTTGTCACAGATGGTGGTCCAGGCCATGTGGGACCGGGACAGCCCTCTGAAGCAGATCCCCCACTTCACACCGGAGGTCATCAAGGTGGCCAACGAATACAAGTATGTATCAACAAGCAGTTCTCTACAAACATTTACTAACCTACCTTCGTGCAGGATCAATGATATCTTTGAATTCATGGAGGCCATGGACCCATCTGAGAACAAAGACTACGCTACGCTGGTGAAGCGCCTCGGTCTCGACAACAAACAGTTGGCGCAAGCTGCGGCTTTCACCAACGAGAAGTACCCCAACATTGAGCTTGACTTCCAAGTCGAAGATCCTGACAGCATCACTTCGGGCGAGCCCTCGTACCTCAAAGTCAAGATCGAGCGCGACCTTGAAGAGGATGAAGAACCCGATACCACTGTCCACGCACCCTTCTATCCAAGCCAGAAGATGGAGAACTGGTGGCTGGTCGTTGGTGACGAGAAGACGAAGAGCCTGCTCGCCATCAAGCGTGTTACGATCGGTCGAAAGCTGGAGCTGCGTCTGGAGTATGTGGTTCCCACACCTGGAGACCATGAGTTGACCCTCTACCTCATGAGTGACAGCTACGTCGGCGTGGATCAGGCACCCACGTTCAACGTGACTGCGGCGGAGGGTATGGATGAGGATGAAAGCGAGGAGGAAGAAGAGTAAATGTTTTTGGCATGCGTGTAATAATAGTTGTGTTTTGGGTAGGATACAATGGTGTTCTCTATTCTCCATTCTCTATTTTACTTCAGTAGTTGTTCTCAAAGGAATGCAGGGCATGACGCTTAACCCGATCAGGGCTCACCGATAACCCCCGCATGATCAGGTCCCCAACCTCCCCTTCTCCAACTCTCTCATCACATTACATCTCATCTACCTGTCTCAATCATATCATCTTTGTCTTCTGTGTAGTGCATACTTTAACACACTCCTCTCAATATTCCAATTTAACTTACTTTGACACCCTGGGAGCTCTCCAAGCTACCTATCTGATCTCCTCACCGTGAGCTGATATGGCCATTCGTTCCATGAAGTTCACTCCTGAGTAAGTAGATTTTGTCTGCTTCGGAAGGTTGTCTAAATCAGCTTTTATGCACACCGCTTGATCATTGGACAGATGCTAACATCTTCAGGGTTCTGCTTGGTGCACCCCGACGGTCCTCAGCCGTCCCCAACGCAGCTGGCACCCTCGCAGTCTATACCCAGACATCCTACTCCTTCGAGTCTCACTCCAAGGCAAATGAGATCCGCGTCATTGAAATCGATTCTGGTCGATCTGCCCTCATCACCAATGACCCCGGCGCCAGCAACCCGCAATGGCTAGACACTAGCGACCAACTAGTCTGGCTCAAGTCCAAAGCGAACGGGAACACGAGCTTTATCATTGGCGATGCTCGTCAGGCCGACAACACATACACCGCAGGCACATTGCCAGGTCCAGTCTCAGACCTGAAATTGACCCTCATCGAGCCCGGCAGGATCGGCTTCGCTGTGACAGGCAAAGCCAATCCCGATGGATCGCTATACAACCCCCACGATGCGAAGAAGCCATACACAACCGGCAAGCTATACACATCCCTCTTTGTCCGACACTGGGATTCGTATGTCGAGCCCCAGAAGAACTCCATTTGGTATGGTGTTCTGGAGCGGGCGCCTCTGTCGCCAGCCCGCAGACAAGCTGGCAAGTACTCTGTCTCGGGCCTTACAAACTTGATTCAGGTGTCTGGATTGGCGGGTGTTGAGTCGCCTATCCCCCCGTTTGGTGGTACTGGTGACTTCGATATCAGCCCGTCGGCAATTGTGTTTATTGCCAAGGATCCGGATCTCAACCCAGCTACTCATACCTCTTGCTCATGCTATTATGCTCCCATGTTCTCGTGGACTAGCATGAGTGTGCCTGATGCGAAGATCTGCAAGGTCTCCGGTCTTCAGGGAGCGATGTCGTCCCCCGTCCTTAACTCAGATGGTAGCTCCATTGCGCTTCTGGCTATGCGTGAAGATGGCTACGAGTCTGATAAGAATCGGATTCTGTATGTCCCTAACCCGTGGGACGGAAACATGATTGAGATCTTCGAGTCGGCCAATGGCGAAGGACTTTGGAACCTTAGTCCTTCAGCCGTGTCGTTCTCCCAGGATGACAAGTCGTTGATCCTTGTTGCCGAGGAGATCGGCCGCGGTGTCCTTTACCAGCTTCCTTTGGACAATGCGCAAAAGGTCAAGCCAGACTCACTGAAGAGGCTGACCCGCTGTGGATTCGTGAACGACGCTGTTCCCGCAGCTGCCAACTCTTCCAAGCTGTTCTTGTCTAGCAGCAGTTTGGTTGATAACAGCCTGTGGACGATCATTGATCCAGCATGCCCAGACGACATCCAAGTGGTGTCATCAAACGGCCGAGGTGGTGCTGCATTTGGTCTGACTCCAGCTCAGGTCGATGAGATCTGGTTCAGAGGAGCTGAAGACCACCCCATTCACGCATTTGTTGTAAAACCCTCCAACTTTAAACCCGGGGAGAAGTATCCGCTCGCCTATCTGATTCACGGTGGACCCCAGGGCGCTTGGAACGACCAGTGGAGCACCCGCTGGAATCCCGCTGTTTTCGCAGAACAGGGTTACGTCGTGATCACACCCAATCCGACTGGCAGCACCGGCTACGGTCAGCCCTTCACTGATGGCATTAAAGGCCAGTGGGGTGGTCGACCCTACGAGGATCTAGTGAGGGGCTTCGAGCACATCGAACAGCACCTTGATTACGTCGACACCTCTCGCGCAGTCGCCTTAGGTGCCTCGTATGGTGGCTACATGATGAACTGGATCCAGGGTCACCCACTAGGCCGCAAATTCAAGGCGCTCGTAACCCACGACGGTGTGTTCAGCATGACGTCCCAACTAGCCAGTGAGGAGCAATACTTCCCTCTACATGACCTGAAGGGACCCATCTGGAAGGTCCCCGAGAACTGGGCGAAGTGGGATCCGTCGCGCTTCACTGAAAACTGGCAGACGCCTCATTTGGTCATCCACAACGAGCTTGATTACCGCCTGACCATCGCCGAGGGTCTGGCTGCGTTTAACGTACTCCAAATGCGTGGTGTCGAGAGCGCATTCCTGACTTTCCCCGATGAGAACCACTGGGTTCTGAATCCCGAGAACTCGCTCCTCTGGCACCGGACCGTGCTGAACTGGATCAACAAGTACGTGGGTCTTCCCGCCGTGTCAGAGGAGCCGGATCTTTCACTCGGGGTGGCCAATATGTCTATCTGATCAGACACTTCTTTGACGTTATTTATTATTGGACATGAAACGTATATAATAGACGCTATAGGGACCTGGATGGGATTGTTCTTTTCTTAGCAACAAAGCACAGCGCCAAACGGAGCTCTGGTTGAAAGTCGGTTCTATTGCGATTCAAGAGAACGATGTCTCTGTCACTCAAAGAGAAATTGTTTCAAAGCGTTTCATCTTATTGTTAAGCATCTCTGTTTGTTCGGACAATCGCATGCTTCTCTTCTGTCTTTCACATATATAAGCGCTGTTCCCCTCGAGTAGATTCTCTTTCCTCAGACTCATCTATATACCGTACAAGAATTAGCATCACCAACTTGTCAACTTGAGATCAGGTCACATCCATCTGAAATACACATCACACCACATCCAACGCCAACATCCAAATGCTCAAAGACACAATGGAACGACGCAACTCAACAACAAGCCCCATCTCCCCATCCTCACCAACAAACTTCCTCCCCCAAAACATCGCAGACCTCCTCTCAACAACAACCCCCCAACACCAATCAAACCAAGTCCACCCAAACTTCCGCCCCCTAATCCACCACCTCCAACAGCGCCTCAAACCGTTAGTCTCAGTAACAACCGACAAAACCCACCCAGATTTCCCCACGACCCTCCTAGCCTACAACCTCCTCACAATGGAGCAAGTCGACAACCTCGCCCGCCACTTCCACCAGGTCTGGCCTCCTCTCCCTCACTCTGGTGATTATCCTGTTCCTATTAGACCTTGGCTGGGTACGCCTGGAGAGAGGGACGTTGATCTTGAGACGAGAAGGAGGAGGATTGGGAGATTTATTGGACTACGGGGTTGTGAGTCGCCTGTTCGGGAGGGGTTTGAGGGGGAGTTGGATGAGACGGATGTTGATGAGATTGTGATGGTCGGGGATGGAAATGGGGAATCTGGGGATGTGGCGTTGGAGATGGAGGAGTCGGAAAGGGAGATGCTTGATCGGATGGAGAGGGAGTGGCAGGAAGGGCTTGGGAGGGAGTATGAGAGTCAGGGGCATCTTTGGAATTTGAAGTGAGGGTTATTTGTACGTCCTGGGGTGTATTGTATGTAGATTTGTATTTCTAGGAATCGCATAAGTGATAGCATATCGAATGTGGAATATTGAATATCCAAGACATCACCCTGGCCAAGACGGAGCATGCGCCGCTTTGTTTCTTTTAGCCGGCGGTTAAAGATGAATAGCGGGATAGATAAGTTGTAGCCTATATTTACTATATTTGAGGCTATATCTGAGGCTATATAGTCTGTATCTAGTGTTGTCCTCCGGAGTAATTAATTATTATTTCATTATATCTCTACTACCCAGATCCAGCCTTAACTATACAATCCCACCACCACACCAGACTACACTACACCAACGACATAATGTCCAAACCACTCGTCTCACACATCTACACGGCAGACCCTTCAGCCCACGTCTTCAACAACAAACTCTACATCTACCCCTCCCACGACCGCGAAACAGACATCGCCTTCAACGACAATGGCGACCAATACGACATGGCCGACTACCACGTCCTCTCAATGTCCGAAATCAATGGCCCAGTAACAGACCACGGCGTCGTGCTCCGCGACAAAGATATCCCCTGGGTCTCGAAACAGCTTTGGGCGCCCGACGCAGCAGCCAAGAACGGGAAATTCTATCTCTTCTTCCCGGCTCGGGACCACGACGGCATTTTCAGGATTGGTGTGGCTGTGTCGGATAAACCTGAAGGGCCTTTCGTGCCGCAGAGTAATTTCCTTGAGGGAAGTTATAGTATCGACCCGGCTGTTTTTGTCGATGAGGAAGCTGGCGGTGAAGCGTATTTGTATATCGGTGGGATTTGGGGTGGACAGTTACAATGCTGGGTTGAAGAAGAGGGAAATGGAAATGACTCTGAGTGCGGAGAGAAGAAACTCGTCTTCGATGCCTCGAAATCAGGTCCCCAAGAACCATCTGGTGAAGGTGTCCTCGCTCTCTGTCCGCGCGTTGCACAGTTATCAGATGATATGTTGAGTCTCACGACGCCGGTGCGTGAACTCCAGATTCTGGCTCCCGAGACGGGAATGCCTATTCTTGCTGATGATCATGAACGGCGCTTCTTTGAGGCTGCGTGGATGCATCGCTATAATGGGACGTACTATTTCTCGTATTCGACGGGTGATACGCATTTCCTGGTTTATGCGACTGGAAAGTCGCCTTGGGGGCCTTTTACGTATCGGGGGAAGATTCTTGATCCTGTGCTTGGTTGGACGACGCATCATTCTATTGTTGAGTTTCAGGGGAAATGGTATTTGTTTTATCATGATTGCGAGTTGTCTGAGGGAGTTGATCATTTGAGGTCTGTTAAGGTCAGGGAGATTGTTTACGATGAGGAAGGGGACATTCATCTTGCGCAGTGATTGTTATAGTAGGATGTGGGAATTAGAATTGAGGAATATTAGGTGGTGTTTCCGTTGAATTTGATAGCGACTGTCTGTATAGCTATGGTCATGTCGTGCAAGTAGATAGTTCGTTTCCCGGTTAATGGCCCATTCCATGCTCCCAGTTCTCCTGGACAAGTTTCCAGTACTTCTCGCGTGTGCGTTCGCGAAATGTCTTGCCGAACTTGATCATGAATAGGAACACTGCGGCACATGCCATGCCAATGAAAGCGGCAGAGATGAAGCAGTTCTGGTAGCCCATATTTTCGATCCAGGGTGTAATGCTAAAACAAGTCAGTTTTGGTCTTCTATTGAAAAAAAAAAAAAAAAAAAAAACAAACTTACCCATAGCCAATGGCAAATGACATGGTATTGCGAACCAAGATGACACTCGCCATAGCAACACCACTCAGCTCTCGGTAGCTGTCAATGAAATAGTTGACGCTAAGAGTAATACCGCAGGTATTGGTGAAGGCAAGCACGCACATGGCCACAATCAATCCGAACCAGTGGATATCGTGGGCAGCGCCGACGCCCCATAGAATTAAGGAAGCAGGGACAAGCACCAGACAGGCGAGGAATGGCCATAAGCGGTGCTCTGCTTCCATGACTCCATTGTTGCGGCGTGCGAGTTTGATAGTGAGCCAGTCGCTGAAACGGCCGGTGAAGATGGATCTATACTAGTTAGCACTTATTTTAAGCGAAGACATATGAGATATTTACCCAAGGATCACCCCAAGACAGCATGCCAGGTAGCTGAGGCCAACCATGGAAGATCTAGTCAAAGTTAGTCTGACGTTATGGCATACATGGTATAGAACACCCACCCGAAATTATATGGAGCACCACCAAGAATGATTGAAGCAGTTCCATTTAAGATGTTGAAAAGAACCAGGTAAGAACCATAGGAGAATCTGCTGCATGTTAGCTCTGGCATAAACCAAAAGGAACCGAGATCCATACCCAGCATAGAAAATAACCGGCCACGACAGATAATACAGAATCTGCCAGAACCGCCGGAGCATAGTATTCTGCTTTTGGCGTGGGCCCCGAAGTGACAACTTCTTCGCATACGACTTCTTAGTGTGCATCACACCAGCCTCCGCTTCGGGCGTCGAGTCAACAACAGGAGAAATTTTCTCAGTATCTTCAGCGCTGTTCGCACTTTGTATTGACGATCCAGTCCGCACGATTGCACTCGGTTCCTCAACATGCTCTCGCACATAGTTTGTCTCTTCACAGAAGAAAAAGAGGAAAATGACTGCGCAGCCGACGAAGATGCTCGGCCAGTAGAATACCCATCTCCAGCCTTGGTACTGGGCGATGAAGCCGCAGATAACTGGTGCGAAGAAGTTACTTCCTGCTAGGAAGAAGGCATACAACCCCATGTACATTCCACGTTCGTGGGTGAAATACTAATACCGTGTGAGTAGAATTGCAACCATCAATGGCAGAAGGTACTAACCACGTCTGTAACTGAGATTTCGGGGAGGGCTTCGACGGGTGCTGTGAAGAATCCCGAGACGATATTTCGTGCGATCCATTGGCCATTGGTGCCTGCGTATGGACTGGGTGGTGTTAGCAGCCGAAACTTCATGATGTTGCCGTTCATTCTTCTTACCCCCACATTGTCACTCCCTATAGTGAATTGGTTAGCACAGATCCACACATACCCAATCAGACCACCTACCAGAATACCAATCAAGGACAAGATATATGTCGGGCGCTTGCCATATTGCATAGCAAAAGGTTGCCAGAATAACAACCCCCAACCGGCCAACAAGAACATATACCCTGTTCCCTCATTCAAGGTACTAACAGGTAACCCTGTGGCTTCATGGAGAGGGCCAAGGACTGAATAAACGACCGAGCAAGCAATACCGGAGAACAATGTATAGCTATGCGAATGATTAGTACTCATAGCAATGGTGCGGCCTGCAGTATGTGTCTCTTATGTCTCTTACATGCTCACACAGGCAGTAGATAGAAGCTTCCGTCTCGGACTCCAATTGAGAGGATCGTCTGGGTCATTTGAAGGCGTCGGAACTAGGATAATGTCTCGGTCCCCGCGATCTAAGTGCCTGGCTTGTAGGACATGGTTCACATCCACCAGGGTGAGTGTGCCTGGTATGGATGTGTTGTCATATACTGGTGCCATGTGTGGTGAGGCAAGCTTCTCTTGGGAGTAAACTGAGATTCCCTAAAGAGAGCGATATGCAGAAGAGGGGGTGGATGGTAGATCTTTATATCACAAAAAAAAAGAGAGAAAAAGCAAAGACACTTCCGTTGGGGTAGTTTGAGGGGCTCGGAATGAAGGGGGTGTATTATCAGACGCAATCCTGGAACATATCATATACTTTTATCAGCCAAGGCAGGTAGGTATATCTGAGTATCTGAGGAGAACTCGGAAGATATCCGCTGGCTCTGGAGACTTCACAGGTAGAGATAAGTCTCCACCGCTATCAACTGCCGTTCTCCGCAAGACTACACTCCTTCACTAGCGTTGTCTCCATTACAAGTATCGATTTACTGCTTGGAGGCCTAAGCGGATGCGGAGTAGCTTTGGAGTTAGCTTGCTCTTATTAATTACAGGTATTCCATGTAGACCTATTACTCTGATATGGAGTAACCCCCAAAGACCTGCACAGCAATACAAGTCGGCAATTTGAGACCTGATACTACTGGCTCATCTTGAACTATGAAGCCAGTGAGATGGTTTAATTGAACACCAGCGAGTCGACCAGCCTATGTTGGAGAATTCTATATGTTTGCTTTGAATAGTGACTTATTAACTGCAAAGACAAATTATTCCCCCCTTCATCTTCTTTGTTTACTATCGTACACTACCTCTGTTCAAATTATTTCAAACTCTCCACAATATTGATTTCACAACACTATCACCAGCTAAGTCGATTGCAGACAACATCCGAGTTTACATCCTTATGCGAGATGGGTCTTATCGTTTATAACTCCAAGATGCAGGATCTATGACACAATAATTGCGACGACAGCGATATCTATATAAGCTCGATATTTCAGAGGACTGAGAGACGGTATTGATAGGACTAGGAAATAAAGTCAAAGATATTCACTGGTAAGCATCCATTCTCCAATACAAGTAGTTCTATGTCTTGCCACTTGCTGGTTACTGGTAATTCAAGCTTTCGAATATTCGCCACTATCCCGATCAACACGAGGTCCAAGCGGATGCGGAGTATTCGGGTTTAGTCCGCTCTTATCGCCTCGGAAGGCAATTAAGCCTATGAAGTTAAGGCTTATATGGAGTGACCCCAACACAAATATCCCTATGAGAGATCCCCGATACGATACATTGCTTTCCTGTTAAGGACTATAGTTCCGTTTAACCATTTTAGCCAAGAAACGCCTCGACCAACTCTTGGCTACGGCGCCATAACGCCTCTGCACTTTCCTCGCCCGCCGGAAAGTCAAGATACGGTAAAGTGACGGCTTGGCAATGATCTAAAAAGGCGCCAGATGATTCTGCGATTTACATCATATCGAGTGAGTCATATCTGGCACGGAAACTGATTATCGTGATGTTATATGGCTTACCTTCCAAGGCTGGGTCTAGCAATCCACGCAATACAGTGGCACTACCCTGAGCGAGAGATTTCGGCGCTTGTTGCAATAGGATTGGAAGGTCTTCGCCAGCTGTGATAATGATCTGTGGTGAGATTGGTCCCTGTCGCCGTTATCGGTGCAAACTTACCTTACTTTGCGCAGTTGCAACCAGGAGGATATCTCCTCCCATACGACGTATGTCTGGATGTTGGTTTTCGTGTGTATTGAGAGATTAGAATCTGCTAATGATAGCATTGATTATGATTATGATATACTCACTTCCTGGGTTTGCAGAAAACGCAGATATGGATCGATCCTTGCCTATTTTCGCAAGAGACTTGACGAACTGGATATTCGCCAGCATAGATTGTGCATATCCGTCGAGACAATGATATGTCTCACCACCCTAGACAAGTATATCTAGAATCAGCACTCGTCTCTCAGCAATATATCGAAAGAAACAAACCCACAGCAAACCCTACATCCTTCCACATCAGCGCAGACGCCTCTGTCCGCAAACTCGCCGTAACAAGAACAACCCTAGAAGCCGGCGACATACAATCTAACAACAGTCGAATTAAAAGGAAATAGGCGAGGTAGTTCTGCTGAAAATGGGATTCATTTCCATCTTCTGTTAGCTCCCAGGGCACAGCCATAACCGTCGGAAACCCAACGAAGCCGTCGATAGACATGCCCATCTTCTTAATAGTATTCGCTGCATCACGGACTGAAGATAGGCTGGCCGTATCGGTGGGGATGAAAAGCATCTTCACATTGCGGTGTTTGCTGTTGAGGTGGTCGATTTACTGGTTGGAGTTTTCGCTGGGATTGGCCTGTGAATATGATTGTTCCTGCGCCGCCGTAGGGGAGGGCGTCGGCTGTTGTTGCGGCTAAATCCCCTTTTTCGAGGCCTGCTAGGAGAATTATTAGGTGTTGGTGTTGGTGTTAGGTGGTTGTGTGGATATTGATGAGGATGGGGTGAGTACATGTTTTTTGCTTCACTTGGTCTGGGAACATGGCTGCTACGCCTATCCCGTGCGTGTGGTCGCAGAATCGGTGGCTTTCGCTCATTTGATTTTACTGGTTTGGTAAGAGATACGAGATGTCTGTTCTCGAGACAGTGGGTTGCCTCAAGGGTTTCGTCATAATGAAGCCATATAGAGCTCAACGAGGACACGAAAATGCATGGAATTCCACAGTAGAGCTATTAGGAATGACTGAGAGGATAGGAAAATAAAATGCTGTTTCATAACAACAAGAGGGTAATTGAATAGCGAACAGGTTAACCCTGCCAGCCCTGAAGGTATACCAAAATCGCATTTATACTGTACAAGGGAAAGCACAAACGCAATACGGGCCTGCCGGTCAAAAGAAAATGAAAAAGACAGAGAAGCTAATGGGATGGACCTGCGATGTCATCTTCGGGCATCTGGTCAATGACACTCTGCATGAGCTCAATGAGCTCGTCGATATCTGGTCGTTCCGAGGGCTCGACTGTCAGACACTTGCGAACGATATCCTTGACGGGTGCACTGATTGCAGGGCCATCACTGTTGGATGGGTTCTCACTCTCACCAGACTTGGCTTTTCCCTTGGAAGCACCGGACTTCTCGTCGGGGAATCGCCAGTCACCACCGAGAACACACATGCTCAAGCTACCGCCGGTCTCTTCGCTGCGTGCCTCGAATGGGCTCTTACCAACTAGACAGGCATACAATGTGCAGCCCAGCGACCAGATGTCGACTTTGGTATCGATGATGGACCCTGTCTTGACATCGAAGAGTTCCGGCGCGCGATATGGCATGGTGCTGTGTTCTGCGGCGGTATCCTGCACTGCTAAGGCGAGTGACCGGGATGTGATGGCGATCGGGCTGGGGGCCAGAGAGCCCAGGTCCATAAGGATGGGGCTTTGGCCATTGTCGTCGATCATGATGTTGCCTGTACCAATTAGCTGTGATCTAGGACTTGCGCGAGACTGTCAGACAACTCACCAGGCTTAACATCGCGGTGCGCATATGGGCGCAGATCGCCATCTTGAACACCTTCTTGGCTTTGGGTCACCTCGTCATCCATCAAAGGCTCGTTCTCCTCATCTTCTTCATCCTGGGCCATGCGGTGGCTAGCCCGCCGCTTTGGCTTCATCTGCATCTTCCGTTCCGCATCTGCCTCCTCGCCTTCCCTCCGCACTGCCTTGGCCTTCCGCGTAGACGCCGCACCACTCTTCACCCGGTACTGGTGCATCGAGCGAAGCGCATTGGCGACACCGAGTATCAAGACCATCAACCGCTTCTCCGGGAACTTGGTGTGGTTGACGAGATTGGCATTGATGGCATCCTGGAGATTACCGCGCTGGTAGTATGGAAGCAGAATATAGACAGTCTTGGAGCCTGCGTCTCCGCCGTCGGATCGGAATTTCGAGCCGGATTCGGTGGATACGCAGTGGTCGATCGAGTGGATGATGTTGGTTTGCGATGTGAACAGGTTGTAAGCTTCGACTTCCTTCAGCGCTTGCGACACGGATTCCTGGCCGAAGGGACAGCGAATCTTCTTCAACGCGAATAGTTCGCTGCTGTTCTTATCCTGGACGAGGTAGACATAGGAGAAACCGCCCTGTATTGCATCAGTCAGGCTTCAGGCCAGCTAACCGTCGGGATCCGTACCTCGCCGAGCAGGCGCAGGAGCTTGAAGCTTCGATTGTTGATCTTGAGCTGCGGACTGCTGGGGAAACAGCACATGCAGTCTGTGAAATTGTAGAGGAGGTCGAAGAAGTATTGCGCCATGGTAAGATGTACGTCAATGCGACCTGGGATGCTGTGCGGACCCGGTGGCGTCCGGGGATGGTGCGCGTAGGGAATAGAAAGGAGGATCGTCGAGAGAGGAGATGTATATCAAATGCGAAGAGGTAAGGATGTATATGCAAAGGGAAGATGGTGGAGGTTGAGTGTCAATGGTTGGAATTACAAGTGGAGTTCGTTCTGCATTTATTTGTTGTCCCCCTTTCTTACTACTGTTACTGCTGCTCCGTACTCTTTGGAGTTCTGTACATATCGTCTCTCCTTTGCCTTTTCTTATTTGTCTCCCGTTGGCCATGGGAGTTTGGGCAGTCAACTTAATATCCTTGCTCTCCCAACCTTTGGCCCGTGACCCTTCCAGGGGCTGTACCATCTCTCTTTAAACGGGATATCCCACCTTTACTCTCATATCTATATCCTTTAGTGTCCCTCACGATGCCTCTCGACGATGTCCAAGTCGGTGACGTGGTCAACGTCCCCGGTGGAATGCACGGAACGATCAAATATCTGGGATCGGTAGCGGGGAAGCCAGGTCGCTTCGCCGGAGTCGAACTGAGTGCGGAACATGCCCAGCGAGGCAAGAACAGTGGCGATGTGGACGGCCGCAAGTACTTTGTGACTTCGACTCCAGGCTCGGGCATCTTCGTCCCCATGAACAATAACAAATACGTGACCAGACGGTCGACCTCGAACTATTCTACACCGACCACTCCTGCACGCGCAGCACCAGTCAATTTCAGCAAATCTGTCGGCCCAGCACTTACTACGCCTCGTCCTCGCGTCCGACGACCGTCCCTCCCTCGTCCGGAGTCTCCCCGCGTCCCCCCTCCGAAATTGAGCCTAAGCGGCTTGCGTACACCTTCAGCGGCATCCAAAGCTGGCGGAATCAATGGCATGCGCAGCCCGGTCAAGGCACCGTCCCGCCTGTCTGATAGGCCTTCATCGCGAATCAGCACGGAGGACGACGCATCATCATACGGGAGGCCATCCGACTTCCGGCAACAGGCTCACTCGTCCGAACTTCAAGATTTGAAGGATCAGATCAAGAGCCTAGAGAAACAGCTTTTGGACCGCGATAAGCAGTTGGATGAGCAATCTGGGACTTTGAACGAGTTCCAAAAGACATTGGAGGAACTCGAGGGATCGGACGGCCATTCGATCCGTACACAGCTGCGCGAGCGCAACGAGCGAATTGCCCAATTGACCGCTGAATTTGACGGCCACAGAGCTGACTTCAGAAGCACCCTTGATACATTGGAGATTGCCGCATCCGAGACTGAGCGAGTCTACGAGCAGCGTCTCGATGAGCTTATGCAGCAGAACCAACATTTCCAAGACCGCGGCGAAGATGTCGAAATTGTGGCGCAGCAGCTTAAGCAGCTGGAAGAGCTGGTCTCCGAGTTGGAAGAAGGCCTTGAGGATGCCCGGCGGGGAGAGGCCGAGGCTAGAGCCGAGGTCGAGTTCCTCCGTGGTGAAGTCGAGAGAACCAAGCTGGAGCTGAAAAAGGAGCGTGATCATTCGGCTGCGGCGTTGAAAGATGCAAAGTCTACATCAGACAGTCCACGAAACAGCAGCGAATTGGACCAGAAGGATGATGAGATTCGCGGTCTCAAAGCTATCATTCATTCTCTCAGCCGGGGGAACCCAAATGCAGCAAGCTTGAAACAGAATGGCTCGGCCGATGATCATAACTCGGAGCATCTCTCTGAGCTAGAGCAGCGAATCCAAGAGGTCGAAGAGACCGTTAGCCGGAAGGATAACCGCATTGAGGAGCTTGAGCGTGAATTGAAAGAAATGCAACTGGACTCTCGGGGTGGTCGTAACCGCAGCTCTACTGTCACACTTTCGCCCAAGCATCACAGACCCTCCCACTCCTCGAGCAACATCTCCAACAACTCAAACGGCCTGAACCAAGCCCACCGTCTCTCTGACCGCACCGTTGTCCCGACTGACTGGCACGATGCACCCTCCGAGCCTCGCCATCACCGGGGAGCCTCCAACTCATCCGAACAACGACTCGAGACAATGCATGAATCCGAACGCGGCTCCGACGAGGACACGATGTGGTGTGAAATCTGCGAAACAGGCGGCCACGACATCCTAAACTGTACCAGCATGTTCGGCTCCGGACAGAACAACGAGCAGGCCAAGAAACCGGTCGAGGCCGAGGAGCCCTCTCCCAACCACAACTCGGACAACTATGCAGATGCCATCCCTTCACAGAAGACAGGACGGGATGTCGTCCTAGAAGGACTCAAGGGTATCGGCGGACTGGGCAACTCCATGGACCCAATTGCTGGCAAGTCCACTGGTGTCATTGACGAGTCGAAGTGGTGTGCGCTGTGCGAGCGAGATGGCCATGAGAGCATCGACTGTCCATTTGATGAATAATGTTCCGCGTGGATATGGACGAGTGGTATGGGTTCAGGATCAATGCACCACGAGAAATCGCAGCTTAGCATGACGCTGCTGCATGCATCTATGGGATTTCGTTCTAGTACATGATTGTTGGGTTGGCTCGGTTTCAGCCCCCGTTAATAAATGGTGTTTTTGGCTGGGGCTTCTTGGGAGCTGTCTGGTTGTGGTCGATGCTATGATATTGCCTCTCAGATAGCTGGGATAATGGCGAGGATGAGGCTGCAATAAATATCTGGGCATACTAAAGTGATGTTCTTTATGTCCTTCTTCCTCTGTATAATCATATCTAATTTGTCGAATGTTGCACCATACTCTATTTTCATAACTGGTCATCAAAGAATGTTGAATTCGTCGCTCGTAACACACCTTTCATGACCCCAAATCGAACCAAGAAGATATCACACCCCAACGCCCTCCCAAGTTCACTATTCACGGCTGAATAATCTCCCCATCCTGATACCTCGTTGCCGCAGTCTCTCCACAGCGCTTACACTTGCGCTTCTCCTCATCGGCCGCGAACTCCTCAACAACATCCTTGACTTGCGTCCCAAGGTCTGTACACACAAACCGCTTCTCCCAGACAATCTCCTTGCAATTCCTGCAGTACCACCTCATACTATCCATTGCACCCTCAGCGCGTGGCTGTTCCATAACGACACCTACGGTATCTTTAAAGCGCACGGGACAGTGGGGTGTGTTCGCGGGCAGTAGGAAGATCGAACCTTCGTGGATGGGAATGTCTTGGAACATGGGAGGTGTGGTAGAGGTATCGACGGTTTTGAGGAGCATTGAGCCTCGGTATTGGTAGAAGAACTCGGGTGTGGTGTTTATGTGGAAGTCTGTTCGGGCGTTGGGCCCGCCCACTATCATCACTGTGTAGCCGGCTGTGGCGGGGGATGAGGGGTGATAGACGCAGTAGTTGTTTACTGGTGGTTGGAGGAGGTGGGAGTTTTCTTCGAGCCTATACATTTGACTTTGGTTAGTCTGGCAGTCTGTGGTTCTTCATGCGATGACTTATGCGATAGTCACGCGATGGTGGGGTGATGTAGTTGAAGATGGTGTCGAGGTGTGGTAAATATACTAGGCATACCATTTAGGGATGTTCAATGCTGGAGGAAGCATGGTGCCTGGGTTGTGTCTTGTCTTGACAGACTGTGTAGAGAGCTGAAGAAGTGAAGTTGGACCCTTAGAAATCAAGATCAGATGTTCGGAGATACCAACTGCACCCCGGACTTAGGCGTCGGTCCGGAGCAACCTTGTCCCGCCCTTTTTTTCTTTTTCATCACTAGAAACTACTGAGCTTAGCGGAGATCTTCTTAACCAACAATTCAAGATGGCGACCTCACAACCCCCTCTCCGGTTCACAACTCACCACAACCTGGTATATCGCTTGGTCCTGTCCACTCTCACCGGCCGCACAGTCCATATCTCACAAATTCGTTCGTCGTCGCCCACGAACCCAGGTCTTGCGCCTCATGAAATTTCTTTCCTCCGTCTTCTCGATGCAGTTACCAATGGCTCTCAAATGGAGATCTCGTACACGGGTACCATCCTGGTCTATAAGCCTGGTCTTATCACAGGCAGCACATCCGGCACTGGAGCCAGTGGCGGTATGATCAACTACGAGCTTCCTGCAAACTGCAACCGCGGTCTCAGTTACTACCTTATCCCCCTCTGTCTATTGGCACCTTTTTCCAAAGCACCCATGAAGGTCCTCTTCACCGGACCGGGCGTTATTACCTCGTCGACACCGACCGGTGACATGTCCGTCGACAGCGTTCGGACTGCGATTCTCCCTCTGTACAACCAATTCGGTATCTTCAACAACATCGAGCTCCGCATTCTGCGTCGGTCAAACCCGGGTCCTAATGGCAAGGGTGGTGGCGGTGAAGTGCAGCTTATATTTGGTCACCAGGTTCGTCTGCCGAAGACTCTGCATTTGATGAATGCGGGCCGCATCAAACGTGTCCGTGGTGTTGTATATTCAGTCGGTGTCTCTGGATCGAACAATGCTCGCATGATTGAAACTGCCCGTGGAATTCTCAATCCTCTCTGTCCTGATACATATGTATTCTCCGACGTTGCGTCTGCGCCGCTGATCCCGGCCCCGGACAAGACCAACCCCCAGGCGAAGAAGAAGATTGGCCTTGGATTTGGTCTGTCTCTGGTTGCGGAGTCATCCACGGGTTGTCTCTACTCGGCTGATGTGGCCTCCCCACCGTCGGGTGGCCAAGCGCCAGAGGATATTGGAAAGCAGTGTGCATACCAGCTTCTGGAGACAGTCTCCAAGGGAGGCTGTGTTGCTCCTGCAGCTGCGGCGACCATGATGACCCTCATGACAATGGGTTCTGAGGATGTTGGTCGCCTGCAGGTTGGCCGGGAGGTGATTGCTGACCCGAATATGATCCAACTCGCTCGTGACATGTCCACGTTCGGTGCGCCTGGTTGGGGTATCCGCGATGCAGCGGGCGAGAATGACAACGGTGATGTGATTGTCAGCATCGTCGGCCGTGGAATCGGCAACGTTGGCAGAAAGGTTGCTTAAGCTGTACACGGCTTTCCTGCACTCCGAGTCTCCCACATTGAGGGTGACAACACTTCAATTCAGTGGCCTCATCAACAAGCCACACCCCTAGACCGAGGGCATATACCCCCGTCGACTGCGGGCTCCTGGTCGTCCGCACTCAGTTCTCGCGGACACTTTGATCTTGACTGTCGAGCATGGAACTTGACCTGTCACCCCGCGAACAACACCAAGCTATGTCCTGCGCCCAAGACGTGTACATTGTTTACTTCTCGAATGTCATGATACCCACCCACAAAATTTGCATCACTGTCGCTTCTTGCTTGGTGCTTGGGCTAGAGCAAGGTGACCTGATATAGAATCCCATAATGTGATGAATACATTGTCTATTCTATTCCAATACTTGTAGTCTCGTAGTCTCTTGTGCACTCAGCTTGGACGAGCGGCCTCTTACATCACTTGTTGTTGTTGTCGCGGGCTTTCCAATTCACCTCTTCTGTTGCCAATAAATACCCCATCCCTCCCAATCTTCCTCTTCTTTTCTTCATCTCTCCTCTTCTCTTCACTTTTACTCCCACGTCTCTCTTTCTACTTCTCAAGTCCCTCATCTTGCATCCTCTGTTGTCTGTACTTCCATATCCACGTGTCCGTCCATCTCTCTCATACTTCCCACTTATCTTCTGCCTCCAACCCGGATGGCCAGGGCTAGCCCTGCGCTGGCTGGAGGGACAACGACACCCCCGTACCATTTCTGCCATTTAGTCTGCCACCTATTCCTTGTCGGGACAGGGCTTTGCCCTGTGCTGCTTAAAGTTATCTGTTTGGCTACTTTTCCCGCAGCGTTTGGCTCGCACCTCATCGTGGTGCTGTGGTCTAGTAATCTTCGCTGCTTGCAGTGCGGATGAAGCTAAGACGAGCCTACCCTTTGAACTTTCATGCTGCTTGGTGAGTTGTTTCCTTTGCTATGGCTATCTCATGCAGCTGCACGGCAAATAAGATGATCCCATCGCATGGTTGGGGTCTTCAAGGTTATTCTACGTAGTCATGGATAGGTTGCAATGAAATAAATGTTTTATCTGTCTCTATTGAACTCTAGTAGATGATGGATGCTGGGTAAAGAGAGCTGATCGCTAGGAAACAAAGTGTATATGCCTCAACGCCGAAGATGCTAGGAAAAGGGTTCCCGCGGGACTCAACACATGAAGAAAACAAGGTGCTCGAACGCTTTCAGACAAATATGTAAATAAAGTCGAAAAAGGTGGTGACAAGAAAGATCATGAAGTGTGTATGGGAATAGCCAAAGATCAAGGGGCTGTGCAAGAAGGGAAGAGAGAAAAAGGCAAACAACATGCAGAGAAAGAAGAGTCTCGATCAGAGACGTCCAGGATGATCTAGTCAGAAACATCCTCATCCTTGCCAGGATACATAATATCCTGACGATAAACAGCCCGAATGTGGTTAACAAAAACAAAGATCCACATACAGATCACACAAATCGACATAGCAGAGCCAACCCCACCAATTGCCTTACTTCCAAACGCTTTACCAAGCGTAATAGTAGCAAGAGTAAAGCCAGTGTTGGGGAAGACCATAGCCCACCAACTAAGGTGGAAAGCCGTGGGCGGCGAGCGCACAACAGCAATAAGCGCCACACAGAAGAACCACAGACTCAACGCCCACAGGAACGCACCAGCAGCCAAAGCGAAAATCTCAAGCATACGCCCATCAGCCGCGTTGTCGATGCTGCCCATCACACTGAATGTGTCTGGTAGACCCTGTGCCATGCCAACGAGGGCTAGGGCTGTGAAAGCGGGTGGGCCGACGCAGATGAACATTCCTGGTCTGTGTTCGCGGCATGGCAGGCCGGATTCCATGAGCCGGCCGATGTAGTGAGAGTACATCATGAAGGAGATGCAGAAGCCCAGGCCTTGGAAGGTTACTCCTGCTGTGACGATTGGGATGGAGGAGTGGTCTGGTTGGCGTTCGGCGATCACGGATGCGATGGTGCCGCTGAGCATGACTGGGAATGCTGGGAGGATCCATGAGGGCATCATTGTTTGGAGGCGGTATGTGACTGAGGTGAAGAGGTAGGAGTATTGAAGGGTTGCGACGGCGAAGGTGCAGGCGCAGTAGAGCCAGAAGAGGACTTGGAGGGCCTTTGAGAAGGATGGTTCTGGGTTATCGCCGAAGTAGCGTTCCAGACCGGTGATGATTGTTGCGATTGAGAGCCAGAAGGTTGGGAAGAAGAGGCCTTCGCGGTCGTGGGTTAGGGAGGCTAGGAGGCCGCCGTGGAAAATGAATCGGGCTGCCATTAGGGAACAGACTAGGGCCATAAGGATGATGTTGAATAGGTAGACTGCTAGGCCGATTTCTTTGAGGCCTTTGAAGGTGTTTGGCTGACTGACTATCAGGAGGGCTAGGCCTCCTGTGCTCATTGTCAGGGTGTACCATGCCCAGGTGAAGTGACGGAGACGCTGGCGGAAGTCGATGGGGCCTTGCTTTTGGCCCTTTTCTTCTTCGAGGATAGGGGTGTCTGAGTGTGAGGAGGGTGGAGGGTGCTCGTAGCTTTCGTTAGGGTAGGACCCTAGTAGGATTGGGTGGGTCATGATGAATGTAGATGTAGATGTAGATGAGGTTTAGATGCAATGTATAGATGAGGCCCGTGATGGGTCATACAAAGAAAGTCTATGAGTGGATGTATATAGACTATAGACCGTGGGTCTAGAGACAACAAATGAAAGAAAACAAGAGAGAGGCTTTGTAGAATGGAATTGAAGAGGAATGAATGTGAATAGACAAACAGGGAGAGGGTCCATATATAGCTTCAGGATTGTCATGGGCAAAGCAATAGCATCAATTTCAGAACAATGTAGACCCATCAGCCAAGGAATTCCAAGACCACCGTGGTTCAGGGAGAACGTAATCCAAGCAAGTCCCCTATAGTCAAAGTGATGAGCACTGTGCAACGGACCTACCAGCGACATCAAAGGTTATCGAGACCAATAGAATCGGCAGCCTAAGAAGCCCCAAGAATAGATCGGCCCAGGGTGTCGGGCTTGGACGATACATAGTATGTATCAGGGGTGGATAGTGTACTCCAGGGGAGGACAACAGATCCACCGCGGGAGTCTGAGCATCAGGCTTTGGGCGTAGTATAGAAAACTTCGATGCCTAGGGGAGACTCACTTGCGTGGACTGCCAAGAACAGAATCACTGGTGCGTAACCCTGCCACACCGCCTGCCACACTGAAGATTTTGATCCAAATGAGCATCGAAGAGTCGTCGAGTTATCAATTGATTTGTCGATATCATCTGTGGCGAAAGGAGAGACCTTGAATCGGCCGAAGTTACACAGATGATGAACCTCGATCCCGTTGTTCGGGCCGACTCTGGGCAGTTTCGAAGCGAGCGAGCAGCCCGACTCTTACCGATAGGAGCATATGAAAGTATAAACCAGGATCAGAGCGGATCAGAGCGGATCAGGGCGCATTCAACGTGCCTGGCCGCTATGCCAAGAGAGAGATCGACAGTGCATCGGAGACGGTCCGCTGCCAAGCTTTTAGTTGGTGGCTGTGAAAAAAGAGAGAAGGGGGAGGTGGCAACTGAGAAGTGTTGAGTAGAGTGACACCATTGTGTATCCTTCAATATGGCAAGCATGTCGAGATTTACTCTCGACGGAATGATTGCAGTGGCAAGAAGAAGAGTATAACGTTCTGACCAGACCTGATAGATCCAAACTCATGTCTTGGCGCCCCTGAACTTCTTATCTTCACAGCCTCCGCCAACACACTATTGATCCTCGCCAAGAATGAATTGTAACATGGACTCTTGTCGATCGGATGATCAGCCAGGTTCCAAGGATTCCAAAGAAATTTCATGCTTATTTTTGGGCACTGGATACTGGTTGCCTGTTGGCACTGGGTGTTCCAGACATCATCTCGCCAAGAACTTGCTCAGACTGGATAGTGATGCTCTAAAAACGATGAAACTCTCTGGTTAATGCTACTCTATGGAGTGTGATGGGGCAAATTCACTCTCCACTCTCCACTTCACAATATCCGCCTTTAGGGGGCTCCCACTTAACATCTGGGGATCCCCCAATCCGGAAAAAGGCCCTGAGGCAAAACATTGAATTCAGGAAAAACGCTCAGCCGGCAAAAGCCAAGATTATGCAAGAACAAAGCAAGATTATGCACCTCGAAGTGACAAATTATGCGAGAAGCACGCTACGCAGCGGGTCCCTAGGGACCAGAACACAACCTTCAGGGTAGCAATGCAGAAGAACAAAGCGAAAGCGCGTGCCGAAACACCCGATGTCTGGGCATCCCAGTTCGTCAATCCAATCACATCACCGCATCCGCTCACATCATGCGGTATACAAGATCAGAGGCCAGCTCCGTCGTCATATCCAGCAGCGAGCGGAGACTCTTCGGTGCAGAAGTCTCGGCCCGCTCCACTGTCGCATCCACCGGCCGGAGCGAGGGTGTTGCCGATGCAGAATCGTCTGGCGAGTGGTACTTGGCCAAGTCCTTCACTTTGCAGGCTGCATAGTGCACGACCAGTCGTCGTAGCTCATTCTCCCGAAGTTGCGTCGCGGACGTCGGTGAGATGGGCTCCAGCCGAGCCGTTTTCGTGTAGGCATAGTGGACTAGATTCAGGACCATCTGGGCCTTGCGCGCGGCCAAGACTCCCAGTTTTTGGGACGGGCTCGGGTCGGCTGTTTCTTGTTCTGTGAATGATATGAGCAGCAGATCTCGGTGTAGCTTGCGGAGACAGAGCTGCGCCAGGGCAGGGATCAGGTAGCGGGTTGCGAAGACATAGACTTTGGCGTGGAAAGTTAGGTATGGGAGGTCGGATGTTGACTCGATCGGTGATAGCTTTGAGGCCGAGTCGTCGGTGTATTGGAGGGAGACGAATTCGTCCCACATGCTAAGGCCTGGCTCACATGGTGAAGAGGCTTGTTGTTGGGCAAATGACATGTCGAGCATTGGCCTGGGTTTGGGCATTTGATTGTCGTCTCTTTCTCCTGACCATGAGTCTGCCAGCGGTTCGTCTGCTGTCTCTGGTGTATACTCTTCGGGTTCTGCGGGTGGTTGATCCCAATATCCAGTCTGTTCTGGCTCTGGCTCTGGCTCTGAGGTAGGCTCCTGCTCAGCAGGTTCCGGTTCCGCTTCTGGTACATACTCAGCTGCCGACAATTCTTCCCCAGGCGGTGGTGGAGGCGTTGTTGGAGGCGTCAGGTTGACGGGCTCTTCCGCTGCGGGAGGCTCTTCATCAACGTATGATGGTCCCTGCTTCTTGACCTTCTTGCCCTTCTTGCCCTTCTTGATCTTCCGTGCTGGCCTCTCATCCTCCACAGACGCTGCAACCTCAGGCTCTGGATACACCTCCGGCTCGACGGCAGGGTACTCTGGCTGCTCCGGTGTCTCATCCGGCACAACCGAATCCGCGTAGTCGAAACCGTTCACTTCAGTGTGCTCTGTTTCTGGCTCAGGCGCAGCCTCTTCAGGAGGAGGAGCTTCTACTGGCATAACCTCTGGCTCATGCACATGCTCCGGCTCGGGATCAGGCTCATGAATCTGATACACAGTAGTATCCGTCTGGCTACGATCCTCCGGAGGCGGTGATGGCGCAGGTGGAGGCACAGCCGACGAAACCGAGTCTGATCGATAAGTCTCTCTCCAAGAAGTACCAGGACTAGGCGCATTCTCGATGACGCCAGACCTACTATCTTCTAGGTCTTCCACGTCCGGCTCGGTTCGCGGCACACAATAATCCCCGGTGTATGCATACTCGCAGAAGGCGACGAAGGTCTCGACATCCTCCTCTTCTAAGACGGCGATACGATGTTTTGACTCTCTTGTGTGACCGTTCATAAGATTGTGGAGTGGTTTGGAGACATGCTGGGCGAGGGCCGACTGGATTGTCAACTTTGTGTGCTTTGGGCCAACGAGGAAGGTGAATGATGGTGAGTGGATGATACTGTGAAGAGTCATGCGTTTAGCGGATCATCACTAGAAGAGATATGTGTTGTGACAAGTTGTTCAATGCATACCTGCTATAATCTCGAACAGTGTCCATGAGGCAGTCGGTCCTTGGGATGTGCCTTGGTGCTTAGACAGGTCGAAATGGTTTATATCACAGATCCAGTCCAGGTGGCCCTTAAATATTCACTTAGGCCCAACCTAAGTCCCGAGGCGATCACAGTTCGGCTACGTGTGCAGCTGTGGGGGAGAGATATGCGTGACGGGGGTCAAAACAGCTAGACGAGTTTAAATCTGGTGACAATTCTTCTCTGAATGGCGATTATTGCATCCAGCTCCCTCTGAACCCTGAGATGTTCGCCATTACTTGCCATTCTATCAAAATGGACAACGCAGAGCAGCCACACAGAATCCTCCGAGCTCCTGACTGGCCCAAATGTATAGCGTTGGCAGGTTTCGTGCCCAATCCCAGCCTGTCAAGAACCCAATAGTCCGCCTGACTGGTTGATCTGCAGTGCCCTGTTCTTTGGGTGCTGCATTTGAAGCTTCACTTTGCTGTCTGATTTGTCTGGAAGCTTTTCTCAATGTGGCGGTCAACGGTTGTTCCACCTCGCGGCCCTACGGGGTTCAGGATTAATTCACTCTTTCCAAGATGATTGTCAAGTTGTTTGATAAAGAAAATATGTGTCCTGATCCGAGATATCTCAGAGCGGACTGGTAGAGCGAACTCGAAATATTCTCTGTTCTGTATGCCCCCGTTTTTGGCTTCGCTCTGACCTCTTACAAGCCACCATATATTCCAAGGTTGCCCAAATGACTTGAGTATTCGACTACTTTTCTGTAAGAAGAACAACTAATATTCACAAACAGCTGATAGTAGGCAAGCAGCCCCGCTGCGCAAGATCATCTTGTCAGACAACAATTTAGAGTCGGGCACCAAATGACTCTCTTATAGGCTTTCAGCTGCGCAAATAGATGTCTGATATATACCTATTGAGATTCTCCGCTATCTACTACATCCTACATAGTAAACAGAAAATAAAGAGCAGCGTATCAATTCAGGATTTACCCATACCCATATCCACGAGTATCATACAGTGCAACAAACCAGGTGACACAGATCAGGCCATAAATCAACTAGTATGCATCAACCGAATCTCAGTATTCCCAGGCTCCCACTCCCTCAACCCTTCCCCAACACTATACCAAAATCTCAAACGAATACACTCCTTCCGCGCAGCCTCGAGATCCCCCCGGTCAAAGAATCCCGCTAGAGCTTGCACGCAGTCCACAATACGTCCATCATTCTCCTTCTTCAATGCATTGATCTGCGCCTCGCCTTCAGGCGACGCACCAACCTCCTCAATCGTCTCCTGCACCTCCATCACCTCCATCAGAGTCTCCGGGTCCAGCGCATGCTTGGTAGCGGCATCCTCCGCGGTCACGTCGATACCGTGCAGTTCACGGAGGAGGTATTGCGCTCGCTGGAGCGGGTCGATTAGCGTACGGTAGGCTTCGTTGATGCGGGCTGAGAGGCCTTCTGCGTGTGCTTTCTCGTCGCCATTGGGGTATTTGTCTGGGTGCACGAGTCCTTGAAGTTGGAGGAATTCGCGACGGAGGTCGCTGGTGGAGATCTCGAAGGGGGAGGCTGGTGGGGGGCCTGAGGGGAGGGTCTGCGCGAAGATTGTGTAGTAGTTGGTTATGTCCGGGGCGCCTGCTAGGACGGGTTCGCTTTGGCCTTCGGAAGCTGAGGCCTTTGTGGATGCATAGCGGCGGTTGGATAATGTGTTCAAGGCTGATTGCCGTGGGAGGGCTGTTAAGCCGGCTGCTGTTGACTGGCTGCGATATCGGCAACGCGTGCGGAAATCTTGGTTTGCAGTGCAAGTTAAGGAGCGTGTTGTCCTTGAGGTAGGTCCTGCTGTGCCTGAGCGGCAGAGTTGGGCAATCCTTGGACGGAACGCCATGTTTATGTCTATGTTGTCAAAAAAAGGTATTCCGTATCCGCGGAGAAAAAGCCCTCAGCTATCGCTTTACGTCATCCCCGCACTCTCACGTGACCCATATCTATACAATAAAATACATTCGAGGCAAAAGGTGAATCCATTTGTAGGTGACTGCATTTGGCAGACCTAGATCAGAGTGATTAATTCACTGGCGCCAATAAAAGGCTGGCTTAACGCTATCAGTACATGTAGGGTGCCACTTGTGGCAACAGTTTGAAAGGGCGGTTGGTCGGTACATCCATCGTATATAGACGGAGTCGAGAGACAGTGAGCCGAAATTCGCCTGGTTGTATCTGATGATGAAGGCTGGCCTGCTGCACTTCAATCCCAAGTGACGTCCAATCAAGAAGCATGTGGGCTGAGGTATCGAAATTTGAGTTCGTAACTTATTGAATCATTCAATTCCCCAGAGCTTCACAGTACGATCATGGCCACAACTAGCAATCCACTTCGTGTCGTCGCTGATATCCGTACTGAGGACATTGCCCGAGTGACCGCTCAGCGACTTAACTAGGGACCAGTCATCCGCGCTGAAGATATTGACATTCTTATCAAAGCCACTGCTGACGAAAAATGTACCCGATTTCTTCGGCTGGACCGGCGCATCTGGTGTATTAACTGATGCGGCACCATCGACGTCCATGTTCCCATCGACAGAGGGCAAGAATGAAACTGACTCTGCGCCCTTGTACCAGCGAAGATCAGACACCACACTTTTGTGTGCACCGATTCCCCCAGTACATCTCACTTGGCGCAAGTCCCAGCATTTAACCCAGCCATCACCAGAGCCAGAGAGTACCCGGTACCCATCCACGCCCCAGTCTAAACCGTAAATCTCGCGAATGTGGCCTTCGAGGATCATCACTGTGCGCCCTGTTCGCAAATCCCAGATACGTCCGTTGCTGTCGTATCCACCACTGGCCAAAAGAGAGCCGTCGTTGTTGAATGAAACTGCATAGACTTCTCGCGAATGACCCTCTTGGAGGAGCAGCTCTTGTGTCGTTTCAAGATCCCACAGTCGCCATGTGGTATCGAACGATGCCGATGCTGCATATCGACCCGAGGGATGGAACTCCGTACGGCAGACACGTCCAGAGTGACCAGATAGTGTGGCGAGCGGCTTGTCTTGATCAAGGGCCCAGAGATTGATATCTCCCTCGCCGCCTCCCGAAATCAAATTGACCGTTGATGGCGAGACATTGGAACTGGGGAGCGTGGCACCGGGAAACCAAGCCAAACCACCCACACGGTCCGTGTGACCCTTGAAATTGGCCTTTTCTTCCAAGTTAGGTACTGTGAGTAGCTTGATACCACCACTCCAATTTCCAGCAGCAATTGTCTGGCCATCTGGCGAGAATCGACAAATGCTAACTGGCCGATCTCCCGCAATCTGAGACCCATACAGTTCAAATCCTTGCAATTTCTCCTTGGCTGCTTTGCGATGTTTAACATGCGTCCGAAGTGGAATTGTCGATTCATCTTTAAGCCGTGCAACACGAGACTTTGCGCGGGGCAAAGAATAACGGGCTATTTCCTTGCGTGCTTCGAGCAAGGCGTCGCTGCCCTCTGTGTAGAATTCTTCTTGTTGTTCGACTTCATCCTCCGGCTGCGCTTCCTCCATTTCAATGTCTTCGCCTTGCTTATCCGCCATGTCAGTCAACAGTTCACGTAAACGGTCCCGCCGATCTGAAGGACCCTCGCCAAATAGCGTAATGGGCTCGCCGAACTCTCGTAGCCGTGCGCGCACTCTCGTGTCGTCTGTGGGAACCACCATAGCTGCTGCTCGGCGTTTACGTTCGAATTGAGACAAAATGGCGGATGCCCGCTCGGTAGGAATACCCACCGCGGAAGAGGGGAGGTCATAGTCTTGGTCGACCGCTATAGTTGAGCTTCCATTAGCACATTGTCCATAGGAGAATTTTGAAGCCGCGACTTACGGAGATCGGCATAGTTGATGCCCATATCGGTGTCCTGTTTGCGATTGAAGTCAGCCAGTGATCGATGGAGGAGATGTAGGTGCGAAATATATCTGCTTTCCATGTCCATATGGACGTGAGACTTTAATGTCGCGGACGCGCAAATTGAGCTCTGGTCTTGGGGGGTGCTTACCGCAGTCTCCTCGACATAGGCTTGTCGAGCTGGATGCATGATGTTGGACTAGAAGCTTGCGCTTTGAATTCAAATTAAAAGTACAAAGAGTTCAAGTGTTGAACAGAGGAGGAAATGCGAAGAGAAGAGGCGGAAGTGTGGCAGAATTGATAAAGCTTTGGCGGTGATGCAGGAAGTTATATAATTTGGTCACTTTGGTGAGAAACCACGTTCATAGCTCTAAGATAAAGCTGAAAGTATTCTTATGGTGTTTCTAATACGACATAAGCGTATAGAAACAACCATTAACCCGTATGTGGCCGTGAATAACCACGGCAGCCTCAGATCTCAGGCAACGAAAAAAACCAAATGACGCCAGGCGGTCGATAAGAGCGGGTACAGTCTTATCCACGTCCTTGGATTTTTGTTTCTTTGTACATCTTCACTTTGACCTGACTTGGGCACTCTGGGCCTCTATATATACTCCCAGACCTGCAATGATCCCGCCAAGGGTTTCGTGTAGGGCCTGCAGTTCCGCCTGCAGTAGCCTACAAGCCATCGCTCGAGACGGGGTGTATTCGGCCTCCGCCAATCCCAGCACATACAGGGCCTCGTTACTTCTCAGCAAGCCTCACGTCCGGCTCTATGCAGTCAGACAAAAATCACATCTGCAAAGCCCCACGCTTCAATTAAAAGCCCAAGCCCAATCCCGCCGGGGATTCCATTCCACACCAGCAACACACCTCGAAAAACAACCCTCTCCTTCTTCACCTTCCTCCCCCTGCTCAACGCGCCTCTCCTACCGCGTCGCCGTCTCCTCAAGCGGCAAAGGCCGCCGCTTCGACCCTCTCACAAACTCTTACAACTTCGACCCCTCCGCCGACGCCCTAGGCGTAACAAAAGACAAGAACAGCGTCAGCAGAAGACGCAACCGCCCGGACAGCGGCGAAGATGCCTTCTTCGTAAGCCGAATCGGAATTCGAATCTCAGACCACCAACATGAAAACGCCGAAGCAGTCGCCTTCGCAGTAGCAGACGGTGTCGGCGGCTGGACCGAATCCCGCGTCGATCCGGCGGACTTTTCGCACGGGATTTGCGGCTACATGGCGCACACGGCACAGACCTGGCACGAGCCTGCTGATCAGCTCCGCCCTAAACAGCTCCTCCAGGCTGGGTATGACCAGGTCGTTGCTGACCCGACGATTCGCGCCGGTGGTAGTACCGCCTCTGTTGGGATTGCGTTGCCGGATGGGCGGGTTGAATTGGCGAATTTGGGGGATTCGGGGTCTGTTCTTTTACGGAGGGCTGCTGTGCATCAGTATTCTGTCCCGCAGACACATGGGTTTAATACGCCGTACCAGCTTAGTGTTATCCCGCCTCGGATGCGTGCCCAGGCTTCTGTCTTTGGTGGTGCCTTTTTGGAGGATTTCCCTAAGGATGCCAGTGTTACCAATCTCAGGATGCAGCATGGGGATGTGTTGATGCTTGCTACCGATGGCGTCTTTGATAATCTGAACAATCAGGATATCCTCAAGCTCGTCACCGGCCGGATGATCCTGACCGGCGCGTGGACAGCCACCGATTCTGGCGTCGGCGTTTCGGATAACCTGCGCGCTTTGACTGCTCCTGGTGGTCTGGCTGATGCATTCCCTTCCACGTCAAGTTTGGCCAAGTCCAAGAAGGAGACAGATGTCGAGGACCCTGTTTCTCGCCCTGAAGACCAAATCACTTTGCAGTCTGTTCTCGCTGCTACCATTGCCGGCGAGGCGAAGAAGGCTAGCATGGACTACCGCCGCGATGGCCCCTTTGCTAAGGAGGCTCAGCGCTATTATCCCGGTGACTACTACCGCGGCGGTAAGGTGGATGACATCTGTGTTGTGATTGTCGTAGCTATCGATGATAGCATAGCTTCCAGCGGTGCAGTCTGAGTGACGGAGATGGAGATCGAAACTGGATACCACATAGACACGGCGTCATCTTGTACCGTTCTTTTCTTTCTTTTCTATCTTTTCTGTTCTTTTCTTTTGTCTGGGTGGCTGGGGGCATTGGTATATAACTAACTGCATGGCTGTGTGCATATAACTTAGAGGCGCGGGGGCTTTCCGATTTCATTTTGCGAAAAGAGCTGAGCATAGCATTTCTTGTGCATCTGTCGTGTTTGGTCGATACCTTGACCTTGACTATATTATAGAAATAATTTACTCATTGCAAGACGGATTTTCGGATTGTCATTACTACTGCTATTACGAATACTGCTATGGATGTTGCACGGATTAAACTGCTGATGGATTTATTCTATCAACTAGGTATGTTATAGCGTAGCAGACAGCCTGAATGTTGCTAACTCATTACATACATGCCTAGTAAGAACCTGAATCCTGTCCACACCATAACCACATTCCTCTCCGACTTCCTGGATTCCCTGAATTTGGAGCACAACTAGCTCGAGAGCTAATGATCGTCATAGATCGAGACTATCATCGTACAATTTTCGGAGTGAATGACGTCCCATGTAACTGTAACCTGTAACTCCTATGCACATGCACCAGGGCCAGGGAAAGGGAAAAGAACAATGTACAGAATAAGTTTCTGTTAGGGAATATCGGGGAAAAAAAAAAAAAAAAAAAAAGAACAATCACATTTTCCATTGATTCAAAGGTTCGCTGGGTGATTCAGCTCCGTAATCCCAGGCGTTAAAAAAATGACAAAGATACAGAAACAGACCAGCGGTAAGCGCGTACGTAGATTGAAACAAAGACAGAGAAGAGAACAAGAAAAGGGGGAGCGCAAAAGGTTCCGTGTAAGAAAACAGACGTCATGAAGTGTGCATCTCAGACCACTCAAGCGGCGGTCTCGGCAGTCTTCTCTTCGGGTTTTTCGGTAGATTCCTCTTCCGTCTTCTCCTCTGTGGTCTCCGTAGGCTTGTCACCATCGGTGTTCTGCTCCTTCTCGGGCTCAGGGGCCTTCTCTGCGTCGGCATCGGGCATCGGGGAGTCGAGGTCATCCTTGGCTGACTTGGACTCGGGCTCCTTCTCCTCCTCAGTCTCCAGCTTGGGGGTGTCAGCTCCATCATCCTCCTTGTTGGAGCCGTTAGCAGTGGGCTTGTCGTCCTTGTCAATCGCACCAGCAGGAGTGTCTGCGTCCAAGATGTTCTTCCAGCTGGATAAAATGTTCATGGCGCGATGACGGAAGCTAAAGTCCTCGTCGCGAGGAATCGAGTTGAGCTTGACGATCATCTTCAGAACCTTGTTGATCTTAGTAGAACGGATGATCGAGACCTCCAGATCAGCGTGCTTCTCCAGCTTGTCAAAGTAGGTGGCCATGCTGGCCATTTCATCTTCCTTGGGGGGCTGGTCGCGGGAGATGAAGCCCTTCTGGAGCTTGTGACGAAGGAAAAGAACTAAAAGGCGTAAGCGCTCTGGGTCGGGCGGGCCTTGGGGAGGGGGTGAGCCAGGGTCTGGGGAAGACGTACTTTCTTTCTCCTTCTTTTTCTTCAATTCCTCGGGGTCCACGGGCTTGGGGGATTCCTTAGCACCGGCGCTGGCATCCTCGTCGTCGCTGGGGGCGGAAGCGGCCTTGCCCTTCTTGGTTGCGGCTTTCTTGGTCTTGCTGGCAGGGGTTTTCTTCTCCTCGGGGGCCTTGGGGGTAGTCAACTTCAGCTTGGTGTTGGTCTTGGGAGTCTTGGCTGGCTGTATGCACAAAGGGCAGATTAGCAAAGGCAATAGAAAAGGTGATCCGGCAACACCTACCTTGTCTGCCTCAGCATCAGCCTCAGTGTTCTTGCGCTTCTTCGACGCCTTGGACTTCCTAGAGTCATCCGCGTCCTCCATTTCAACATCAGTTTCGGCTCCCTTGCTCTTGCGCTTGCCCTTCTTGGAGTCCTTTGCGGCCTTGGCAGCTGCCTTCTCAGCTTTCTCGGCCTCAATTTCAGCCTCCTCTTGGTCGATGGCGGCCTGGTGGTCGTTCAACAGCTTCTTAAAGTACGCAAGGTCATGACCTTCGGAGGCAACCTTGTAAGCGCTGATCAATTGCTTGGTCTTGTTCTTCTCGGAGATTTCCTTGCACTCGGCAGGTTCGAGGGGAGTAAGTGCAGTGTTCGGGACCCAAGCGCTGTCGCGAGTAGTCAGTAAGAAATTCGCGTTGGGTGTATAGCATGGGCGGGTGTCAACTTACAATTCATTGGTCTCGAAGAACATCACGGGGAAAGTCCGCTCATGGGTGCGACGGCCACCGTCGGCGTACTCGCCCTTGTAAGACCCATCCTTCTGCATGGCGGTAACAGGACGGTTCTCGAGCAGGCTCTCGGGAAGGATCTCATCATCGCAGATGATGGAGGGCCAGGGCGCATAGCTGCGAAGGCGCGCAAGGTAGTATTGACCAGGCTTAGCATCCAGGTGGGTAATGCGAGTCACAGACTTCTTGCGGCTCAGCTTCGACTGGTTGGCACCCCCGGAAGCGCGGCGGTTCTTGGAGGACTTCTTTGCGGAGGCAGGGGTTCCGTTGGCCTCGGCGGGCGCAGCGGCCGCAGCATCAGCAGGAGCAGCGGCGGCATCGTCGCCATCAGCCTTGGGCTCGGAAGGCTCATCAGTAGTAGCAGGCTTATTGGCCCCAGCTTCGGTGTCCTTCTTGTTGTCGGTCGCAACTGCGCTCTCTGGGGGAAGAAACAATGAGTTAGCGTTTTTTGGTCGCACGGAGATTGGAGGCCCCGACCGGGGGACAGCTGTGAGGAATCGGGATATAGGGATATTGAGCTATATCAATGGGGTCGTGCTTACCGGCAGGCTTGTCGTCGACAGTCTCGGTCTCCGACTTCTTCTCGGTGGGCTTCTCGGCGCGCGCGGTTTCGCCAGCCTCGACAGGCGCATGGACAGGGGTATCCTCAGCCATGGTTGCTAATAAAAGCAATACGTAGAACTGGGGAAGCGATTGGTGAAAGTTGAGGGAGGGGGAGCAGCTTCCAGGGGGGGTTGCAGAGAGATGTGGAGAAGAAAGAGTCGCGAAAGGCGCGGGAACCCCAAGACGCGTTGGGAACGGCAACCTCTATGACGCCACAATCAACGTCGTTTCAGCTTCTGGTCTTCTTGTGTCTTCCACGTTCGCAGACGTTGAAAATGGCTTTCAAAAATAGCTTCTGATAGCTTGGATTGTGAAAATTCGATTCACTTCTGGATTCGCCTAGGCTAGATTCACCTCGAGTGATTCTCAAGCTCAAACAAAAGCCTTGGACGAAATTGGAGAGTCCAAAGAGTCAAGTGACTGGATTGGGCACTTGAGATACAGGCACGTGCAAGCTTGAGAGCTATATGTATCTTGGCCCTGAAGTATCCCGGAGTATTCCAGTTTGTCCTTCCCAGTCTTGGGTCGTCAGTCTGGTGCCGGCGATATATCTCGCTCCAATGCGCATAAATGTCGAATTTTTATCTTGCGAGTGCTGGTATCACAATGCATTAACGTCAATGTCAATGTCCATGTCAAAGCTTCGAGCGCATCGAATTACCGCATACTGATTGCCACCTCTTCGGGTTCTCAACTCTTCGGAGGTCTCAAATCCACTTTCAATCATCCACATGAATTAGCAATTATCTCCTGAAATAAGTGAAGATATATAGAAAGTGAACGCTATATTCCCACATATCGTGGCCCAACGCAAGTTTAGTGCCAACTGGGAAAGAATGAGAACCCTTCCATTCAGCCGTATAGCCTTCACGCCTTGAAACCCTTCTGGTTGTGAGGTGGTATGGTATATTTCGTGTCTGGGTATGAATCGCCATAAAGCCAGGCACTATAAAAAGTGTTAGATCATCGATAACAGTTCTGAATGGGTTCATCTCTCATGGCCGCGAAACTTACTAGACTCATTGCATGTTATCGATCCCTGGGCATATGGCTTAGACAGGTCCGGGATAAATTGGAAGGTAAAAAAAGATGAGGTTGTGAAGACAATTGGATGGCGGGTGGTTAGAAATCTTCGCCAGGTTCTGTTGAGCGCGTGAGCGCCAGATGCTACAATTTGCAGTTCGTTTTTTGGGGTTTAAGGTTTCTTCGATATGTACATAACTGGCCCTATTCTTCGCTGGTGAATGTCCCCTATCATGTTTTCATGTTTCTCTAGGTGGGCTATATGCTGCCTACATTTCATCATATTGATATTTAGCATATTGATGTGGATGATAATAGACAAAGAAATGCTGATATGGGCAATACAAGCAATCCCAAGGGTTCCCTTTTAAGACGCGCATGTCCCAGTACTTCAAACAAAGAATTATTGGCGATTAAAAATAAGAACAAAACTTGATTCTAGGTAGAAGGTGAGGTGGTATCATAGCACACCCAAGTTGTTATCGACAAAGTCCAGGCAGTAACAATAATTTAAAGTCATATACACAAATTACCAACAGCCTGGCGGTTTCATACAGGGTATCACATTCTAAACACGACGCTGATCCAACAGACGTCAGACCAATAATGGAATGCCTTCCGACGGCCATTCATGAGATGACAGCATGACTCCACAGTTCCTCATTAGAAGACCGACTATCCGAGCTGTCAGGGATGACAGTGACAAGCGATGGCTCCGGTTTGTGGATACGGACAAGCCACAGGAAGTAGTCTTCCAGCGGTAACAAGTTAAGCAGCATTCCATTGAACCGCCATCCCAGTGCGCAGACCAAGGCTCCTGCCACTGCATCCAGGATGAAATGGTTGGCCGTGGCAACAATGGCTACTACGATGATGAACGGATAGGAAAATCCGAGAATAAGGCACATCAGGCGGCGCCAGGATGGAAGCGTCAGCCTTACTCGGGTCAGACGAGTCCGCAGTACTGTTCGTCGTTGCTGCGGCAGAGGGATTGTCATGATTGTGAGACCGATCATGAGAGAGTAACCAAAGTGCAAGGATGGCATGGCCGCTGATGATGGTAAGCCATGAATCTATCAAGTGTCGGGAAACGACCTACCATATTGATTACAAAAGCGGTTTTCTGTCCACACACTGCCTGCTCCGTTGGTACCATGCACAGTATCAACAAAGCCATAACTGCGAGCCAGCTCACCCTCCTGCCCACCGATGTTGGTGTCACTTAGTAACCGGGGCGGCATGCAAGGCCACAGAGTGAACACCACAAATGCGAGCAGGTTGCACACAGCCAGGGTCCGCCGACGCGCTTGGTATAGAAGAGGGCCCGCGGGTGACCCGCTCACAGCGCCTCTGGGATTTCCTGCCTGAGTCTCGTCGATCCGATTCCGCGTGGCGGTGAAGTAATAAAGCCAGACGAGGAAAGCGATGGTACCGGGGATATGAATGAACGAATATATCCAATTGATCCAAGTCATCGCGCGGGGATGGAGCAAGAAGTTCCTCTGGATGACAGTTTCCCAAAATATACCTAGACGCTGCTCAACCTTGATGAGTTGTAGGGCATGTCGCCTCGCAACATCGACTGTATCGTCCTTGAGGGTCACGGCGGTAAATGCTCTGCCAAGCTGGTATGTCTGTACGGGATGTGAGCTTCTCGTTCTCTGTATGAAGGCACAAGATCGTAGGATATAGATCGGGTAGCCCTTGGGCACGGACGGCAGAACAAACTTACCCAGTATACCAAGGCCCAGTACCAGCATTCTACCAAGAAAGGAAGCTTCCGTAGCAGACGACTGAGCAACCGATCTTGGAAAATAGCAGTATTTGGCGATGACACCTCTAAGGTCAACCCCAACATTCCCACCTGTCGCTTGTGCCATCCATCGGGAATTTGATGCAAGGGTGAACGGGAACGCGGGGTGAGAAGTCCATCCTTTGTTGTTGGACTTGAGTATCCGGACTCGAGGGAATCAGGTGAGGCTGCCAGCACCAAGTCTGCGGATTTCCGGCGAGCATAATGACGGTGAGCGTTTGTACCAGTTGTACGGTTGATCCATGTGCCTCCAAACAGTAGGACAATGACCACTAGCGGTTCGAGGACCGCTCCAACGCCCATGGTAAAAGATATATCAGTACTCGATACGGAGAATAAGGAATGGGAAGCCCTGGGTGGTAGGATAAGAAGAGAGAAGCCATACTGGGCAGGAGCCAGGGGGAAGTCACCAGATTCCCTGTTGAAAATACTAGTTTTGCTTCCGTCTACTCCGTAATACATGTATAATAGGTCCACAAGGCTGGCCCTGTACTTGGCAGTGGAGCTGAATCATTGGCGTCTGCACAATAATCCATGTATAGTGTCGCGTGCCTCGTGCCTCGTTTTCGTATTTCGTATGATAGCTTATAACCCCGGTGATACCTGCCCAGGTGTACACAGAATCCCTGTGTCAGTCCGAATCAAAGACCATTGACCCTAAAAAGTCTTGTATGATACATGTACACCGGTCAGGCAGATGTGCTCCCATCGGCTTGGCGTTGGGTTTGTCCAACCATAGACAGGAGATGCTAAGTCCGGTTTTATGCACGGCGAGTTTCGAATCTCCGAAGTCCGAATGTCTTAAGGGTCCAGTGGAAATGGCACAAGATGATCCGGATGATCAAATCATCCACAGGTAGAATAGTGGGCAATAGTGGAACAATTGTATGTAAATGCCAAGAACCTCGGGATCGAACCGGATCGCCATGACTCAGCGGCATCGGCGCTCGGATCGAGGAATCGCCGATTCGGATGTTTCGTCTTTGCAACTCCGCGCTTGGCGGCCTGACAACCTGTAAGATCCGGCTCCCGATGCGCTATTGTTGGACGAATCAACTTTGGGAGCGGGCTTATCTCGTATTCCTTTGTATTGGGTGGATTTCGAGTGGTGAGATGAAAAAGCTTGTATTTATTTCCGCCATTGAAGTATATAACGGTCTGAATATAAGTTATTTTGTAGTGGTGAAACCTGTGACACTAGCACATTAGCGGTCTCAGGTGGCAGAATTGTCTAGGACCGTATTCAGCTCAGTTTACTCCGCAAAAAGGGAATCAGTTCATGCACCACAATATGCCTACTTTCTTTTCGGATTCTTGACTTCAAGACACAGTATCAGGTTAAGCGGTCTACGCTATACGAAGCCACTCCATACAACTCCTACCGATCGGGGGAGTGGTCGGTTGTATGCTCTTTGTTGATATCGACCCGTCTGCTATGCCAGACTGCCATTGTGCCATCCCCATTTCAGTATCTAAATATGCCTCTTCATTGCTTCCATACTTCTGACTTGTACTTTCTTACTCCCTTGAGCTATGTTTGGTTTCCTGTTGGACAGACCGTCTCTCCTCCAATGAAGAGAGTATACCTAGTACTGAGTGATGTATACTTGACGTCAACCCTCACACCACCATGACCAACAGCGGTCCGAAATGTTGGTTCTTTGCAGAGAATGAAAGCGATAATTTGTTCGAGATATATAAACTCCAGACAAAGCAGCTTTGAAGTCTAAAGCTCTTCCATCTACCATCTACCTAGTCCATCTATCATCATCATCATCATTTGAATAGTACATCATCCATAATGTTCCCCGCAAAGGCCACAATTACATCTGCCTGTAAGGGTGTCTTGAACCCCGCGTCCCAGATCCCCAAGGTTGCCTCGGCCGCACGATCCAGAGGATTTTCAACCACACCGAGTGCGTATCAAGGAGTCACGCTGTTGCAGGATAAGGAGAATGGCTTTGGGTTTACGAGGTCGAACCCTAGACCTGTCAAGCCTAGATCCAAGGGCGTGACTGAGATTCGAGGTCCTTACTATTCAGTAAGTGGAGTATAATCCTCTCACTAAGCATATGATGATGCTCTGTATGTTTCCAAGCTAACGTAGACTAGGTTATGGGCAAAAGATACCTGGCAGACGTGCTCGAAACGTAATTACCCACAATACCTAGCCTGCGTGACAGTACTGACAGCAGCTTATAGGATGGGCAACCATGTAGATGGTCTCAAGTTTGCGGGAGGTGAGTGCTAGTCTTGAAACTGTCTCTGAGACTTGTCAGCAGGGACTGAGACAGAACCACAGGTTCATTCTCTCTCTTTGAGGAAAAGCCCCTGCGCGAACTGATCGATCTGGCCCACGAACACGGCGTATATGTCTCGACGGTAAGATTGCCCCGAAACAGCACATCTTGAGCATTCCTAACACCACGTGGACTTCAGGGCGGATGGGCCGAACATCTTCTTACGCACCCTGACCCGAACACCGTATTCGACCGGTACTTGACAAAATGCAAGGATCTCGGGTACGTGCATCTTCAAATCCCAGACTTCAACAGAGAGCTGACCATACATAGCCTCGACGTAATTGAACTATCCTCTGGCTTCCTCTCAATTCCAGAAGATGACTGGCTCCGCCTCGTCGATAAAGTCCACTCATACAAACTGGAAGCAAAACCCGAGCTGGGTATTCAGTTTGGTGCTGGCGGGGACACACCTGCCTCAGGACTTGAAGCAATCGGTACCTCAGACCCCGGAAAGCTGGTTAACTTGGGCCATAGGTTCCTCGATGCCGGTGTGAAGCGGTTGATGATTGAGTCGGAGGGAATTACGGAGAATGTTACCTCCTGGCGGACTGATGTTGTGTCTCGGATTATGAAGGAGCTTCCTTCTGAGCGGGTCATGTTTGAAGCTGCCGATCCTAAGGTGTTCAACTGGTATATTCGGGAGTTTGGTATTGATGTGAATCTGTTTGTGGATCATAGCCAGATTGTGCAATTGGAGTGTTTGCGTTCTGGGATTTGGGGGACTGCTGATACTTGGGGGAAGATTGTTTCATTCCGTAATTAGGCCCGAGATGTGCAGGTGACCTTGAATAGTCAATATCGAGAAGAGAAGAGAACTGTGAACAGAATAGAAAGTTGACCTAGGGTAGAGATTACATAAGCTCACAGAAGTTGGCGTACCACCACGTCATATCTCACTTCGATTCACAACTTGCCTTGCCCCTAGTGAGTCGACATTGGGGGCAACAAGTTTGAACATTCCCTGTACATTGACCTCTGTGATATTGCCTCAAACTTTGATCACCTCCGCACTCTCTATCTCAGCATCAGGACCCTGACCGAAAGCACCCGACCTGCGCCAGGGAACTGCGCAGCACTTCCGCATTACGGAGACTCGTCTCCCTCACACCACAAACATGAACGGAGAAACCCAATCTCACAGGAGCAGCGCGTCATCCAACTCACAGTCCCAGCCCAAGCGCACCCACAGAAGAAAAGGGTAAGCCATACTCAACCACGACACATACACAATACTCAAAACTAACACCCCAAAGCATCACCTGGGCGCCCCTAAACATAAGCCTAAAACGCCGTCTCCAAACCTTCCTCGTCCTCTGCCACACATTAACAATCCCCATCTTCCTAACGATCTTCTTTTTCACCTGCGGCATCCCAATCTTCTGGCCCCTCCTAGTCCCCTACTTAGTCTACATCTCGCTCTTCTCCACAGCAGCAACATCCGGCGAGCTAAAAGGCCGCAGCCAATTCCTGCGCTCACTCCCAATCTTCAAACTCTACGCTTCCTACTTCCCCGCCCGTCTCCACCGCGAAGAGGAACTGCCCCCGACAAAGAAGTATATTTTCGGATATCACCCGCACGGGATTCTCTCACATGGCGCATTCGCCGCGTTTGGAACTGAGGCATTGGGATTCTCGAAGTTGTTCCCGGGAATTACGAATTCGCTGTTGACGCTTGATGCTAATTTCCGGATTCCATTTTACCGTGAGTATGCGCTTGGCTTGGGGATAGCGAGTGTGTCGCGGGAATCCTGTGAGAATATTCTTACGAAGGGTGGTTCGGATGGAGAGGGAATGGGGAGGGCCATTACTATTGTCGTCGGTGGTGCGCGGGAATCACTCAATGCGCAGCCTCACTCGCTGCGGCTTGTGTTGAAACGGAGGAAGGGGTTTATCAAGCTTGCTATCCGGACTGGGGCGGATCTCGTTCCTGTTTTGTCTTTCGGGGAGAATGATATCTACGAGCAGATTCATTCTGATGAGCATCCGCTTATTCATAAGCTGCAGATGTTTGTTAAGCGGACTATGGGCTTTACTATTCCACTGTTCCATGCCCGTGGTGTGTTCAATTATGATGTGGGTTTGATGCCTTATCGCCATCCGCTTAATATTGTTGTTGGACGGCCGATTTCTGTTATGCAGCAGCAGAATCGGGACAAGATTGACGATCAGTATATTGATGAGTTGCATTCGAGATATGTACAGGAATTGATGCGGTTGTGGGATCAGTACAAGGATGTTTATGCTAAGGAACGGGAGGGTGAGCTGGAGATTGGCTCGTGAGGGATTGAATCATGTCTGTTCAGTCTACTGTTTTACAAAACATATATAGCAGACTAAGGAACTCACTAAGTTAACAGCAAATCGTACATGTTCAAATAGTTCAGATTAAATACACACGCAAGAATGGTAAACCTATGAATTGGGTATCAGATCAGAAAAGTTAAAATGCTTCAAAAGCACAAGAATAAAAAAAGATTCATCATCATCCTCGGAACGGCGAGCTGAGGCTTGGATCCCACGACGGCGCAGTAGGGTTCAAGCCCGGCACTTCAGCCGATGAAGATTCACGTCGGCTCTCTCGTTGACTCTCACTGGCGACACTCTTGACGTTCATGGAAGAACGATCATTCGCATGTCCACCGTCCATTCGACCCTGGATCATCTCGTCCAGTAATCGCGAGACTTCATCCATGTTTTTGCCACCATCCGTCTGGTCATTGACTCTGCTGACTCTGCTAGAGCCAGAAAAGGCCCGCTTGTTTGGGCTTTCGGGCTTGTCAGTGGGAAGACCACTGGTCCTGATGGGACCGTCACTCTCGCCCACAGAGTCACCCTTGTTTTTCAACTCGGGTGACTGGGACTCATTGGTGACGGCAGCCAGGTCGCGATGACGCGTTGCAGAGCGAAGTGCAGCGAGCATGCGATCCTTGTCGTCGAGCTGGAGGCGGAGTTCGTTGATCTCCATGTCCTTCTCCCGAACCAAGGCCATCATATCCGGTTGCTCGGCAATGGTGGCATTCGCAGGCTTGACACCCACTGACATGCGGGTGTGACTGGATCGACGAGCTTGAAGAAGTCGGCGTTCCAGGGTTGAGATGTATCGGTTTTTATCACTAAGGTCGGCCTGCAACGCAGTTACCTGCCGCTGCAGGCTGGCCTTGCCATCACCAAATTCACCAAGGTCCTCTTCATCCTCGGGGCCAAATGATCCCCCGGGGTAATGCAATGCCGAGGGGTCGCTGCTATTGACGGACATGAATGAGATGGGGCGTATCGATGAATGGACAGCACTCAGGGTCGATTGACTGGCGGACGAACGTAGAGAGCGAACACCAGAATCCGTCGAAGACATGCGGGAAAGCCGACCAAATGTAGACAGACTGTTGTGGTTGTTAACTCCTGTTGACTTGGAGCTCAAAATTAGACGGTTAAGATGCTCGATTCGCTCTTTCAGCGCAGTTCGGGCCAACTGCATTTCCAACACTTGCTCCTCGTGGCGGGCCTGCGCCTCTTTTTCATACTGCTGTTCATCCCATTTGAGTTCCTTTTCAGCCTGAAACTTGGCCTGAGTGTCAAGCTGACCGCGCAGAGCTTGGATCTCCATGCGGTACCGCTCAAGCAAGACTCGGCTTCCAGAGTCCCCGCCGCCACCGCCGTATGCCTCCTCTGCCTTCTTTGCATGGCTGACAATGTTGTTCTTGGCTCGCGCAGCAAACTTCATGGTGTTTAGGGTTTCACCAGTGTTCGCATTGACAGAGCTAGTAAGTTGGATCGTGCACAGGATACTGACAAGGGAACCACCAGACAAAGCTGGCTGTAGAAGTCTGGTCAACTTGCTGTCACGGTAGGGTAAATGCCTCCCATCGCGATCCATGGGGTTGCCTTGCTTGTCCTTGTTTTCGGAGAGCCGGGAGATAATGGTACCCAGAGTGAGAAGACTCTTGTTGATGTGCGCACCCTCCGTGCGACGCTCCTTGTCATCGGCTGCGCGCTCGGATCCTGCCAGATCAATCAGGCTCAGGGTTGACACCCGTACGCCTCCCGGGGCGATCCCAGATCTCTTGTCTTGGGAATTGCCTGAGGGCACACGCTCTCGGCTCTCAACGACGATTTGGACAACCGCGTGACTTCGGGAACTTCGTGCATTGAACTGCGTGCTGCTGGTGCGTCGCGCGTGGTCACCTCTTGCAATTACGCGAAGAAGTTGTGTCGGGCTCTGCACGATCTCTTCCTTGAGCGGCGTGGCATACACTCCTCGCTTGCTGTCCTCTCTCAATTTGATCTCTTCCTGAGGTGCTGCAGGTCCATTGGCAGACGAAGCGGATAGGAGATCGTGGATCTTCTCGTTGTAGATTTCCAGGTAGCTGACCCGCAGCAGGAACTCTCGGTGGGGGGTTTCTCTGATAAAAGAGAAGATGTCGGTGATGGCCAGTGGAATCACACCGGGGGACGTCGCTGTTCCTTGCATGGAAAAGGTCTTTCCGGTCCCGGTCATACCATATGCGAAGACCGTTCCGTGGTAGCCTTCCATTACACGCCTGACAAGTCGCTTGGCTGCTGAATCGTACACCTTGGCGTTGTTCTCCATGGGGTTGAATACGTTGTCTGTTCAAACTCGTCAGTCGCAATATTGGGTTTCCGGTTCGATAATGCCCACCATAGTAATAATCGCCTCCTTCCTTTCCTCGATATGAGATAAGGCTTTGCCGGCCATCAACCGACCATTCGCCATGATTCCGCGGTGTTTCGCCTCCGCTGTTATTGTCGGGGCGCACACGTACACTCACAATCACATTGCCCTTGATCTCTTTTTGCTTGGTAGTCGATTTGCTTGCCGTGTCGTCTGCATCCTCAAATGTAGTAGCGCTAGTCGAGCATGATCCTTGCGCGGATGAGCTTCTGCTGTGGGCGGGAGAAGCCTCTGGATCCCGTGTGTCCGCACTCGAAATGAATTTCCCTTCTCCACTACCGTTGAGCAGTGATGGTGTTTTTGAGCTACGGTAGCTGCTAGTAGTTCCCGTGCTCAGCCGTGAGCTTCGCGCCGGTCGCGAGCTGGGCGTGGCGGCTTGGATGCCCGAGAGTGAAGATGCCGTAGACGGACGGCCGCCTGCTTTTGGTGGTTGAGGGAATGATGCGATGCTGATTGTGCGGCGCAAGGATTTGTCCGGGCTGCTCGGTGCGCGTCCGCTGGATGCGGACCGGGCCGCGCTGAGGTTGGAAGTTGAGTTTGAATTTGAAAGGGGAGACTTCAGCGACGGTTTGGGGCTGGATGGCGTCCGCAGCTTGGACGTGTTATAGGGAGACGCGGCCCGGGGTGTCTCGGAGCCGGGTGTAGACCTTCTAGGTTTGGGATTGGGGAGGGCAGGTAATGATCCGGTTGGGGGGTTTGTAACTGGCCGCGATGGCTGAGGTAGAGCCGACATTGAAGCCATGCCGACTGAATTTCTGAAGTCGAGTGGGGTGGATGAAATTCAGCGAGTATATGTGAGCGCGACGGCCATGCGGGCGGATTGGAGAGATGGTGTGTCCTGCAATAGTCAAAATTAGCCAAACGCACTGAGACATCGACGATTGGGCCGTTGACTGGGCCATGTTTTCAAGGTAAACACGAACCCACAGGACCTGCGAGCTCAGGATATCCTCAATGTCTTGAACGGCGGGTGGTTTCGGGTACGTACAGATCCAAACGACCATGCGTTGTAATCGCGACGGGAGGGGAGAGAGAGAGGTTCGTGAGAAGTGGATAGAATGATCGTCGAGAGAGACGCGAAAGTCAGAACTCAGGTGGGAGAAAAGAGAAAAAGCGACTAATCTCCCCCCGCAGAGGGCGAGACTCTTATGATCTGATATTCAGATATTTAGTATTGGCCCCTGGATTTGTAAACAGGTTCTACTATAAATGTATTGCATAACTACTTGACTCCTTCCCTCCTATAGCCCTCTCTACCTGCCTATGTACCTAGACTCCTTCGAAAAGGGGTGTGATGGAACTAAAACTCATCACAGTGTAGCTAAGAAGCTCGGGGCATCGCAGGCAAGTGGAGGTTTCAAGTTCGGGACACAGGAGAAAAGGGGGACGAATGGGATGGGAGAATGAGAGCTTCTTCTGAGGTGGAGCCAGCCCATTATTGTGACCGGAAGATATAAGTTACAGATGTTACAGTGAGAGTGTAGGAGTGTAGGAGTGAAGGGAAGAAAGGAAGAAGGGAAAAGGGGAAGGATCAAGGAAGATATAGTTCTTCTCTACTTACATCTCCCTGTGAAGGTATAAGGGGGTTGAATTGAACCCCCATGAACTCCTGTTCAAGAAACGGCTCGATAACGGGCTAGAATTGAAGATCAAAAGCCACTTAATTTACTAAATTCGCAGGAAATTAATCGGCAGTTAGCGTTGATCCTCATTTACAGTATGTCCCGTGATATGTTATCTCTCCTATACAAGTGCTGTATAATCAACTTAACTTATACTGTAACAGCATTTGCTTCTGGAATACGAGGATCGGCAATCTCTCGTGGGATAAGAATGCGCTAAAGTGAGGGTTCCTCTAATAGATCCAACCCTCATGCAAGGGTGCCAATATCCGTTCCGAGGAGGCATACAGTCTTTAGGGCCTGCAGAGACTTTGGATCTATTGGACAGTGCAACATGACAGGTAGATGATCGTGGGTAATGGATCTGAGCGTTGACATCCTCTCTGTCCCTCTCCACTTGTCATTGGGACTATCACTTCCAACTGCATGTACATGTACATGTACAGTAGGCCCTCCGCTATCATCCAATAGTGGCTGCAGATATACCATGCATAGTGTCTCGGCTGAGGTGGCAACGAATAATTCCATTATGTAGCCTTCTATTTATTTGTTGTTTTCTTTCATGTTTTCGTTATTTCATTGCGCCGAAATCCAGTTGCCGGGCAGCGCTCTTAAAGAGCCCTTCGTCCAGTTCCCCACCACGCCGTGTCAAATCATCTCCCATCTTTTTGGTTCCACCGGACTTCCGGGGAGATCTTCATTGCTGGTTGGTCGGGGGTCAATGGTCCACCAGTCGTTTCGAAGCACCTGCACCGCTGTGCTGCGTTTGCGTGGGTCGAGGACGCACATCGACATCAGCAGATCCGCACCCACCGGTCCAGCGGTGGGAAACTGTCGCATAAAGAAGTCACGTCCTGACAAGGGTATTTGTTGCGCGTTGTCCGTGATAATGTAGTTGGGAAGCTTCGTAACTCCAGGCCAGTTATCTTCCGTCGGCGTGCCAAAGGCTTCGCAGATTTTAGAAATCTGATCCAAGTCCGTGTTGCCGGCCACAAAGGGAACACGGAGCAGGAGCTCGGCAAAGACCATGCCCATTGACCACACGTCCACTGCGCCGGAGTATTGGCGAGCACCGTAGAGCAATTCAGGAGGCCGGTACCAGCGAGTGATGACTTGATGGGTCATGTTGAGATAGGGATCAGCAAAGGATCGAGCCAGACCAAAATCAGCCAGTTTGACCTCTCCGTCCGCCGCGATCAACAAGTTGTTAGGCTTGATATCGCGGTGAAGAACAAAGTTCTCATGACAGAACCAAACACCTCGAGCAAGCATTCCCATCCACGCTTTGATATCAGCTGCACCGTAGTGAATGTCCGTGTCCTTGATGAGCATCTCCAGGTCTCCACCGGGAAGGAATTCAAGAACCAAGTTGAGGTTCTGGTCTTTGGAGGAAAATACATCGTGAAGTGCGATGACATTAGGATGGGCCAACTCCTGAAGATATTTCACTTCGCGGATTGCGTCCATGGTGAGTCCATCTTTGTATTCCGCATTGACTTTGATTTTCTTGATCGCAACGAAGGACGAGGTATCGTGTCGGAGGTGGCCGAGATATACAACCGCATAGGTACCTTCGCCTAGCTTCTTATCTGGTTTAAAGTTAGCATTGAAGACCTTGGAGTACATGGGAGCTGTACATACCTTTGACGTATCTCTCTCGCACATCGATATTCAGTTGCTCGGTAAGCTCTCGATCTTCATTCTGAAGAGCCTTTGCAGAAGCAACTGTACCACCAGCAGAGTTTTGTGCAGCAGTTGCTCTCAGTCTGATGGCTGTATTCGGCGAATGTACTATCATAGAAGGCGAACGAGAGCCAAAGGGCGAGAGCGCCATGGCTGGTAGGTGCTGAAGCACGAAGCTGGCGAAACTCTTATGGTAGGCGAAGATATGAGAAGAAAACAAGAAGACCACAAAAATTGAGTGGCTGTGTCAATTATCAAGAGATCATCTTAAAAAAGATATATTCGTCTAGGCAAGTCGTATTCGACGATGTCATGCCTTCACCGTTGACTGGCCCGGAGTATAGTTAATCCCGGTCTCTGCTGAGCGACACCAAAATTTCTCCGGATCAATCAACAGTAACCTCAGTCAATTCGTCGGCACTGCTGAATACCTGTCATTTCCGAGATCTCAGGCCCCCCTCCCCTGCTCACCGTTTCTTTACGGTTCCAATTGTCCTCTAGGGGAGACCTAGTGAACAGCAACAGCGGGCTTCCGGAGTCCGCCCGCAAGTCACCATCACCGTGTGCGCCATGGCGATGCGCAATTCGCCGCTCAGCGGCCTGTCATCGCGCTTCTTCAAGACCGTCCGCACTACCAACCAATTCATTCGCCCATTCCACAAAAAGACCACTCCTACCGTGCCATCTCCGACCCCTTTCGTTCCCGATGTCCCGACCTTCCTCACCTTGATCGGCCGCGAAATGTCAAAGCAAGCGAGCAAGATTCCCTCATGGGAGGACCTTTTCACCTACAACTCGAACCAGCTCCGCGAAGCTGGCGTTGAGCCCGCGCGCCAGCGCCGATACCTCATCCGGAAGCGCGAGAAGTTCAGGCACGGTCTGTACGGCCCCGGCGGTGACTTAGTAGAGGTGGTTGATGGGGTTGCACAGCTGCGCGTTGTCCAAGTGCCTGCTGGATCAACTGGCTTGACAGAGGAAGGTGAAGGCTCGGAGGTGAAAGCTTCAGCTACATTGTCACCCGGTATGGTGAAAACTCTTGTCAACATGGCACCTGATGCCACCACTTTCAAGCCGAGCAAGAATTACGAGTTCAAGAAATTCGCGCACATGAGAATTCACCGTGGGACTAGTCCTAAAGGTCCATACCTTCAACCTTTGAAGGGTAGCAATGGCACTGCTGCTACCATCTCGGTTCAGGAAGGCATGTGGGAGGACAAGCGCGGACACAAGGTTGATGGTGGTGAGCGACGACGCAGGGAGGTCCAGAACAAGAAGAGACTGGATGAGAGGAGAAAGGCATAAACTTTCAAAGGTGTATATTCTACCTTGTGTATCTCGCATATTTCTCGTTGAGCCTGGATGTTCGTTTCCTGTACTATACTATTGCAATCATGATGTATTTCTCATCCAATGTTGACCTCGAATGAGCAAGACAATTTCATCTAATTGATATCTCATTAAAATGATATAGTAACTATGAACATTAAAAAGCATAGGTGGATCAGCCGCAAGATAATTTACATGGAACAATCGTTTCAAGGTAAAGAAGTAACAAAACTTCGATGCAAGCAGAAGGCCGCGAGTTTCAGAACACCAGATAGTTCTCTGCCGCACCAACGTAGGTCGTTAAGTGTGATAGTCCAATATCGGACGGGAAGATTTTGGTTGTAGACACGTTACTCTGATTATGCCTTGACTCCACGCTTCTCGTACTGAACGAAGGATGTACCTAGGGGCTTGGAGAACAGTGACTAGAAATGGGTTAGTAAGATGACTTGAAAATTGTAGGGTTTGACTTACTGAGTAGTCTGTCTCGGGGAAAGGGGCGTTCTTGTCAGGGACGGAGAACTTGAAGTGTCTCACGAGAGTAGCCAGAATTGTGGCCAACTGCACATAGGCGAACTGCTCACCAATGCAACGGTGACGGCCGGCACCGAAGGGGAGATAGGGGCTATTGGTACCCTTGGTGACCAGTCCATAACCATAATCGATCTTCTCTTCGTCTTCTTCGTCCTTGGGGACCTCGACCTCGTCCCAACGGTGGGGGTTCCATTTCAGAGGCTCGGGGAAGAATTCCTCAGAGCGGGCAGTAACACCGGGGGAAGACAGGACGTTGTGAGTGGTAGGAATGACATAAGAGGTTCCTTCGACAGGCATGGGGTTCTTGACGGCACGGATGATGGAGTGGATGGGAGCGTGGATACGAAGAGTCTCCTTGATGACCTTGTTGTGCAGGTCAAGCTTCTGGAGGCTTTCGTGGGTGAGATCAGGCATATCGGAGCCCAAAACACGAATTTGCTCTTGATAGAGCTCCTCGATGAGCTCAGGGCAGGTAGCCAGGCGCAGAACAATCCAAGCAGCAGTAGAGGATGACGAGTGTTGGCCAGCCATGAGCAACGCGATCATCATGTGGGCGATCTCACTATCAGGAATCGGGGTACCGTTCTTATAAGTGCACGACATCAGGTTCCAGACCATGTCCTCGGAGTCCTTCTTGCCACCAGCGGCACGGCGCGCCTGGATAATGTCCATGTAGGTCTCGGTCAGCTTCTTCTGGGCAGCGTCGCGCTTGCGGTTGTGGGGTAGCGGGGCCCAGGGCAGCATGAAGTTAATGGGCGCGAAGCCCTTGTCGAGGTCGTGGTACATTTCCGCAAAAGTCGCATCAAAACGGTCGCGTACTTCCTTTCCTTGTAGCGAGCGGGATGCAGTGTAGATGGTGATCTCGGCAATGACCTTGGAGACGTTGAAGGTGCCCTTCGGGTCCTGGAAAGCGGAGGAATTTTTGACGAATTGGTCGACCTCGTTGGTGATCAGGGGAACATAAGATCGGAGCGCTTCGGAGGTGAGGCCGAACTTGACAAACTGTACATTGTGTGAGCAATTGCGTGTTGCGGTCCACGTTGGTGCTATTACCTTCTTCTGCTCCATGAGCTTGGAGTTAGGGCAATCGTAAACAACATCAGTGCCGAAGACTGGGGTGGTCAGAGGCGAGTAGACCTCCTCGGCGCAGACATCACGAAGTTTGCCATTGAGGATGAATTCGTTACCCTTGGTGCCTAGGTAGACGGTGGTCTTCTTGCCGAGAAGGACGAAAGTGAAAATATCGCCATACTGGACACGAGCGCCTAGTCAGAAATTGCCTGTTTGTCTCAAAGATTCGCAACATACCTTTGCGCGTGCCTGGTTGAAGAAGGTGTAGGGGTCCATGCCATAACTGATGGTGCTGCCAACAAAGGGGAACCAGTGGAAAACGACCGGGGGCTCATGAGATTTCTTGAAGAACAGCTGGCTCAACACATTGATCACGACCGAGAGCGCAATGAACGACAATGCTCCAACACCAGCCAGAGTGTAGATTGACTGGGTCGAGCAGTGCTCGCAAAATGTCTCGAGAAAACTTGTAAACAGGCCCATCTTGAAAAGACAGAATAGAGAAGGAAAGCAAAGCAAAGCAAAAAGAAACGGGTACACGAAGACCCTCGAAGTCGAAGTTGCGTTAAGGTTGAAGATTGAACAGGAGGCGTGAGGAAAATAAGTCTGCTATCATTCGGCGAGAGAGGACCCGCCCCCTAGAGGAACATACGACTAACATATACGCTAACCTACTTTTTCTATTGGGTTAACCACTTACAAGATATGTTTTAATTTTATTCCAGGGGCTCTTTTGTCTCTACTCTTCAATGGGACTAGACACGACAAATATGGCCTTATATTGCACATCACGCCACGTCGGTTAAGGGGTTCCCGGTCTACAGGGTACATAGAATGTGATCTGTTGTACATGTATTGTTACGCCTTTGGGTCTAATAGTTAATAGTTAATCTCGTAAAACCCATACTCTTTTGATCCCCATCCCACTTACAAACCCCATAAGACATAAAAAATTCACAGGCTTGTGGCTCAATTATCGTACAAGGTGGGATCGCCACGTTCTCCGATGTTGATAAAATCCTTCGGGTCTCGGTTGCCACTCGGCGAGGCTTCGCGCCGAGAGGCCTTAGGTGGCCGATTGTGAATGCGCTTGCCAGGTTCGTTCTGGCTGAACACTTTGACCGGCGCCTCGCTGCCCCGAGTGTGTTCACTGAAGGGAGCATCGTTGACACTGCTAAGCAGCGTCCTTTCTCGCTTCACTTTACGCTTAGAAAAGTCCAGGTTGCTCAGCGCCCCGGTCAGACCGTCGGTGCTGTCAGTAACACTGGGGTATTTCCCGGTCATCCAAGGATGCTCTAGACATTGGTCCACAGTGATTCTCTTCTCAATATCCACAGTAAGCATCCTGTCAATCAGGTCCAACGCGGGGTCGCCGACAGAGTCCCAGTAGGGGGACGGATAGTCGAATTTACCCAATTTGATCTGCTGCGCGAGCGTGTATGGATTCTCCAAGGTGTTCAATTCGTCGGAGAAAGGCGGGAAGCCACAGAGGCAGATGTATAGGACAACACCAAGGGACCATACATCGACAGCCTTGGTGTATCGTCGACGGCGGGTGTCTTGCAAAATCTCGGGAGCAACATCTGTAAAATGAGTACGAGGATTTAGTGTTTTGGGGGGATGGATCTTCTCCACTTACAGCTTGGTGTGCCACAGCTGGAATTGGGTGTTAGCATGGTGCCTCAAATATATAGGAACAAGCCTTCACTTACAGTGTAGTGGTGAATGAGTCCTCTCCGATGATCTTCGCCAACCCAAAGTCGCCTAGCTTCACGCTCAAGAGCTTGTCCGCAAGTAGGATGTTCTCCGGCTTGATATCTCGATGAACAATTCCGCGTTCATGCTAATGACAATTTATTAGCTTGTTTCCACCACACATAATTGATATACTTACCAGATACTTTAGTCCATCAAAAAGCTGACGGAACACATGGCGGGCTTCGTCTTCGCTCAATTTCTGCTGAGTCACAATCAGGTTGAACAACTCGCCTTCAGGTGCCAGTTCAAGGACTAAATAGGCACCATCATTGTCATCAAACGTGTCCTTTAGGCACAGCAAGTTCGGGTGGTTAACACCCATCAAAACCGCAATTTCTTGCTGTAGAGCTTCACCTTGTGTCTTTTGCGAGTCACTAGCCCGTCTTTCAAAAACCTTGACGGCATACTTGGTCCCAGTGGATCGCTCAGCACATAGGTAGACCGTAGCGAAGTGGCCTTTCCCGAGCTGCTGGAGGATACGGTACTGCTGACGGAAACCGTGGGTTTCCCGAGTGCGAGGGTAGCGGAAGACAAACCGGGCTTCGTTCAGAATAGATATTTCGTCGCCGTCTTCCAACTCGCGGTTCTGGTTCCGGCCCACAATAGCATCGTTGATAAAGGTTCCGTTGCTGGAGAGATCCTCAAGCATGGCCACCATATCGCCCTTTCTGTTCTCGGCGAAAATGAGAAAATGCCGATTGGAGATGGTGGGAATATCAAGGACCCGATCTGGAAATGATTAATTGATACTCTTCGTCAATCAGCCACTTGCACTTACCGCACTCGGGGTGACGGCCGACCAAGAAGCCACCCGGCGACTGGGCATTCTTGCACCACTCGTTCTTTTTTCCGGACTTGACTTTGGCAGGACTGCTGTCATCTCTGCATTGAGTGCGCTTTTTCAAAACGAGCGGACCTTTGCCATGCTCGTCGAGTGGTAGCAAGTAGCCCCAGACCCCTTCGGCGTCCTCATCCTCTACCTCATCTGCGAATGCTCTGGGGGGATACACGAATTGCGAAAGTGCCTGGGTATCCTGTGGGGGCGAAGAAACAGCGTATGATAATTCTGGCTGGGATGGAGAGTGTTGACGGCCTTTGTGAGGGCTTTCCGGGGGCGTTGCGGTCACATCCTTGCGAGTATCCGCAATGGTCGAATCAGGGCCGGTGAGAGGAGTGGGCAGGTATTCCAGATCGACCGGTGTCTCTTGCGGAGGTACTTGACTCGAGATTCTCTGCGAGCGTCGAGGCCTTTTTTGGGAGTCGGAGTCGGCGGCAGCCTATAGTAAAACCTGTAAGCAATGAACGAGTCTGAGCAGATATGAAACATACTCGGCCCCGCTTGAGTGAGCTTTTCTCACGGGGTGCCATAACGCTGCCAGATATCACACCGAGGAGGCTTCCCCAGACCAATGAGCGATGATTGCTAGGGGGCTTCGGTGACGCAGCGCCAATGTGAATGATGAAGCCTTCTTTACAGGAATGAGAGAAGTATGAACCAAAGACAAGTATGCGGCTCCCAGCGATACAGGCAATTCAGGGGTGGAAGAAGAAAGACCTGGAGAAAGCTGTTTGAGCCTCCCTGGCGCTTTCTCCGCCCGAGAAACCAATGGGAATAAACTTGGAAACTGCGGAAACTACGCATCACATTCTAAATAAATATCCACACAGCTCTGTACTTGTCTGTGAATTTGGTCAGATCAAAAATATGTAAATCTTTATAGTCCGAAGTAAACAAGTTCGGCTCGGACCTAGGTTCGCGTCCCGACACGTGCCCCTGACCTCATCCTTCCCCAGGGTTCTTCATTCCCTAGGTCCTCACTTAACAATGGACGGGTATGTTGATCCTTGGAGGTTGCTGGATCAGTACTAATGGACTACTCAAGCCTTTCAGGTGGAATCAGACAGTTTGCTTTTCAGAAGCTCGCTGCGTTGGCAGTTGAGTCCCCCCGCGATGGGACGGAGCTCACTCGCCTCGCGCAGCAGTCTCGGCCACGCCAGCCCGATGGTGCTCTCAATGGAGTCTTGAGAGATCAGGCACCGACATCGCGGGTTCCAATGGTGTGTCTATATTGCTCTTAGGCATCCCTCGCGGTAGTGTGATGCAGGCTAACATCTGTCAGGGAATCCGGGAACTAGATGTCCTCCTAGCCCTATGCAAGGCGGCTGCGTCGGTCAATGCAGTTAATGCCTCTCAATTTGCCTCACAACTGTCCCGGTACCTGCCAGAATCCCACAGCCAGCTGTTTCGACCCTCGCCATTCCTTCCTAGTATAAAACCATCCCCATGGGAAACCCTCACACACAATCTGACTCTGGCACTCTTGTCCTTGGGCTTGAAGTACCCGGCAATACGGAAGACAGCCCTTGATGCCGTGCATGGGTATTTGAACAACTGCGCGGAGGCCATCAATGCAGTCACACCTTTCCAATACTCCAAGTCCGATGGACATGGTGTGGTTCATGAATCCGTTGCAGTTTTGTCAATTGCGGTTTCACTCGTCGGTTTCATGGAAGCCGCGGCCCAGTACACTTCTATCTGGCTCGCGAGTGAGAAACTACAAATAGTTGATCATCTACGTGCGATGCTATCTGAGCCCTTCATAATCGCAGTTGAGACAGCTTCCTCCACTCTTCGCAATACTCACACTGCAGAGCCTGCTTTCAGAGATTGGAGAAAATACACGCGTCGATATGCTGCTCATGGCCGCCCATTAGGCGCTATGCTCGTGCAAGAGGGCTTCATGCGCTTTGTGAAGTCATGCGCAGCTTCTCTGATAGGATCCCAGCACTTGACTGATGATCAGCTCTTAGATGACTACATGACTGGTGTCGGCATTGCTAAGAGCTACGATGAAGACGATATTGCTCTCATCGAGCGCGTCACTAATATTATCAGTGAGGAAATTCACTTGCTAGAGGATGGTGCTGACTACCTGAAAGTCGGCTCCCCCTGGCAGCAGCGTCTTGCCTTTTCCGTCAAAGGACATGCCTTGGTTGGATTCCTCAACTGCGTGATCCTAGGCGAAGATGCGACTAACAACGATGTACTGCTTTCCTGGCTCGAAGATGCATTGCTTGATCCCCAGCAAATGTCAAATGTGGAATTGGCTATAACTTCTTTGAAATGTACCGCAATTGTTGCAAGAATGTCGCCAAATGGTGCCTCCATCGGAAGACGCTGCCTCTTGAGGTTCCTTTCTCAGGGAGGTGTGTCGGCACGTCCAACCGTCGCAGTTGCCTCCCGATGCCTCGCCCAGATCCTAACCATCCTTTCCGAGGATGCAGTGATTACAACGCTGTATTCACTTGGAAACGCGTTGAGCCCGGCCACCAACGTCGATCAATCGAGCCAGGACCAACTCGCTGGAGATCATGCCGGACCGGGCATGAACCTCGAAGTTTATCAAAAGACTGGAAGCCAGACTTCCATCGCCGTTGAAGGCGAAGAGGATACTGTGACTCACAGAAATGTGATCCATGCCATCGTAACAATTGCGACTAACTGTAACGATGATAAGATCAGCGCATTGGCCCAGTCTATGCTTCTTCAAAAGATTGGCAAGATCAACGTTGCAGTGGATGCGTATATAATCCAGGAGACTGCAGTTCTTGCGCTCAGTGGAGGTCAAGCCGAGTTCCAGCTTCTGTTGAAGTTTTACACTCGTGTCTATCTTGACGGCATCAACAAGGGCCTGGACGCTATCTCTGATGCTGTACAATGCGCCATGGCTTATATTTCTGTAACCATGGACCAAAAGTCACCACTTCACCGAATCTATTTGACCCATCTGCTGGAGAGCATCGTCAACAAGGGTGATGTGCCAGACCTGGATCATGAGCGCCACAAGGAGATTGTCTTTTCCGCAGATGATATCACTCCGCTGTTGAAGCCACTTGCTTTGCTTGTTTCTTCTAAAGGTAATACCAGGGGGGATTTCTGGTCAATCATGGATTACGATGATACCATTTTGTCTTTGTTCCGTGATGTCTGGTTCAACATTGCCATCCACGGGATATCACTCAGCTCCAGTGTTGCCCAAAAGCATCACAAGGAGCTTCGTCTTCTTGCGCATCATTCCCCGCCATTGATTGCCGGGAACCATATGGAATCACTGGAGAGCGACGTGGAACTCAACACAGTTCTCAGGCGCGGTGTAGGACCACAGCGTGTAATGGAACAGAAGAGAGCTTTGATTTCGGAACTTCCTGGCCGGGATTCAGATATCAAGAGAATAGATTACCCAAGGGCAGTATTCCTTAACGCCGTACTCCTGGTTGAGAGCCTCCGCGCTTCGTCTGGAGACTCTACCAAGATCCTCGATTACTTCCTGGATCCCGCACTGGCCACTCCCGAGATGGTTATTTGCATGAATGCCGTCGCAGAAAAAGTGGTTACCTGCTACCTATCCCTGACGCTATCAGGAGAGCATGATGACTTCTCGGCCCCTTACTTATCCAAGCAGCTTGCTGAATTCCTGGTGTCCTGCTGCCATCGCATTGAACGGGTCCAAAGCATTGCAACCCTGTGCGCTGGCAAGATCATTCGCGAATGCCCCTCAGCGCTGTGCGAAAAGCACTCTCTCTTTGCCTTACTTGAGATTCTGACTGTTATGTGGTCTTCCTGTCTGCAAGGCGAACTCGATGAGTTTGAGTGGAAGTCATCTTTGGTCTCCCCTATGGGCATTGTCAAGGTCGAATTGCCTGATAACTACGCGCTAAGAAAGGCGACCCTTGATCGGTTTCATGCAAAGGCTAGGGCTTGGGTCATAGCCGTCTTGAACATTGCCCCATTGGACATTAAGGGTTTGCTTCAGACCTATCTCTCCGAATACGATGACGACGGCGGCTATGGGCATATTTCGATAGGCCGTTCTTTTGCCCTGGAGATGGGCTCCATCATACCACAGAGCGACCCGCGACTTGGGTCAATTGATGTCCACGGAAGCAGCGAGATCAATATAGCCTCTGATTTCATGGCGCTGTACACGACACGTCAAAAGTACCGGCGTCCGGATATGCCTGCTATCAATGGCCTGGATGGAGGGATCAACAGGGATTATGACCAAAACCCTCACACCAGACTTCTGCCCGAGTCTGCTGATGCTCTGGAAGAAGCCCTCGCTAGTCTGTACAGACGGAGCATCGATAACGAGGACATCACTCTTGTTGAAGTTAGAGACGCTCTTCGGCAGGCCGCAGGCCTCATTTGTAGCAGCAGCAAGCCCAGGCTGTCTGTGGTTCACTATTTGGTTGCTTTGCCTTTCCAGATTTTCACCAAGGAAACCATCAAGCTGGGTGTCTCGCTTTGGCTTGGAGTCATTCACGAAAACCCAAGCACTGAACCACGGATTTTCTCTGAAGTCATTGAAGCCTGGGAGAGAAGTATAAACCGCCGAAAGGGGTTGTTTGATCCCTCCTTTGCGTAAGTTCCTGTATTGCATATATCTGATCTTGAAGCTGATTGTTCTAGATATCTTGACCCACTGCACACGAAGATCGAGCTACTGCCAACTGACAAGGATCTTATGCTTCGAATGCAGCAAAAGGCTCAAGATACCCTCTCGCCACACTTGCGAGTTCTTCAATTTTTTGAGAGCCATTTCAATGCTATCCGCTTGGGCAACTTGCAAGACCAACAGCTGTTCTGTCGCTTGGTTAGCAGTACCGTAATTGGTCTGACCAAGACCGAGTGTCATCCTTTGGCCAGAGAAATTCATTTCCGCATTGTACTCTTTGGGCTCAAGGTTCTCAGGCACCTCAGTCCCTGCAACAGTGGTGCTTCTTGGAAACTCAAGGACCAGATTTTGTCTGCTGCTTTGAGTTGGTTCAAGCATGCTCCAAGGTAGGCAACGGTTTTACCTTGCATAAAACCACCATTCTAACTGTCTCATAGATGGTCATTTGGAGGAAATAGACTTCAGATTAAAGCAGAAGACAAGGTCCTCAGTGATGTAACGATTGAATTGCGAGGCGTTGCTGGCATTGCTGCACTGGCACAGGGATCGTACAAGTCATTGCAGGCCAAACAAGACTTGCTGCAGATCCTTGTGGACAATGAGCGAGCACGTCTCCGGGTTTGGCTGTTCCCTTTGGATCCTGAGCGCAAGCACCATATGCCTACCATTGGAGGCAAGACCCCTGCTGAGGTATGTTCGCCTTCATTGAGCCGCATTTGCATCCGTTTGACTCACATTCATAGGGCCCTGTATCCCTCCTTCGACTGGCCTGGGCCGAAAGTCCTGGGCTGGCTATCCAGATGGCTACTCGTTTCCCGTCGCCCAAGATGCAAAGCGATGTCAGATGGTTGGTCCTCAATTTCCCCGAAAGGGTCATTGAGGAGTCAAGTGCTCTTGAAATCATGTTTGACAACTCTCTGCCTGTCGACGTTACTTTCCAGTTGAAGGTTGGCCTACTCGATCGATTTGTAACATAACAAATACTGACTGTCAACAGTTCCTCCTGTACTGGGCTCCTGTCACTCCCACAGAGGCTATCACATACTTCTTGCCTGCTTACGGTAACCATCCTTACATCTTGCAGTACGCCATGCGGGCACTGGAGAGCTACTCGATGGATGTCCGATTCTACTTTGTGCCGCAATTGGTCCAGGCTCTGCGCTACGATGCTTTGGGCTACGTGGAGCGCTATATTCTTGAGACAGCCAAGTTGTCCCAGCTGTTTGCCCACCAGGTGATTTGGAATATGAAGGCCAACTCCTACAAGGACGAGGAATCTCAAATAGTAAGTGTTGATACCCTCCAGATCTAACTGTCATAGCTAATCCTCTAATCAGCCTGATCCCCTCAAACCGACTCTCGACCGTTTCCTCGAGAATCTCATCTCAAGCTTCTCGTATGAAGAGCGCGCCTTCTACGAAAGGGAATTCTCGTTCTTCAATGAAGTCACAGGCGTCTCAGGCAAGCTCCGCCCCTACATCAAGCGGAGCAAACCGGAAAAGAAGGAGAAGATCGAGGAAGAGCTGCGCAAAATCAAGGTTGAGGTTGGAGTCTACCTCCCCAGTAACCCCGACGGTGTAGTCGTGGGAATTGACCGCAAGTCTGGCAAGCCGTTGCAAAGTCACGCCAAGGCGCCTTACATGGCGACTTTCCGTATCCAAAAGACCAGACCACGTCTTGACAAGACTGATGCTACTGGTTCCCAGCCCCATGAGCACCAACGCCAATTGACCGGCCATTCTCATTCGCAATCCCATTCTCAGCCTGAACCTGATCAGGAGACATACGAAGTTTGGCAATCGGCAATCTTCAAAGTCGGCGATGACTGTCGGCAGGATATGCTTGCCCTGCAGATGATTGCCGCTTTCCGAAGCATCTTCACCAGTGTCGGACTGGACGTCTGGGTCTTCCCTTACAGAGTGACTTCCACCGCACCTGGCTGCGGTGTGATCGACGTGCTACCCAACTCGATTTCCCGAGACATGCTCGGTCGTGAGGCTGTCAATGGTCTCTATGATTACTTCGTCTCCAAATATGGAGGCGAGGACTCAATCCTGTTCCAGGAAGCCCGCACCAACTTCGTCAAGAGTATGGCTGCCTACTCGGTTATCTCCTACCTTCTGCAATTCAAGGACCGACACAACGGAAATATCATGGTCGACGACGCCGGCCATATCATCCATATTGATTTCGGTTTCTGCTTTGACATTGCCCCCGGTGGTGTGCGCTTCGAGCGTGCCCCCTTCAAGTTGACCTCGGAGATGGTCGCTGTCATGAGTGGAACTCATAACCCGGCCCATCACCAAGGCGGAAACTCGTCCATCAACCTGCCCGGTGCGAACTCGCACAATCCGACTAATACCCAGCCTTACCGCTGGTTCGAGTCGTTGGTTGTTAAGGCGTTCCTGGCGTCGCGTCCCTACAGCACGAAGCTTGGGCATATTGTTTCCCTAATGCTTGACAGTGGTCTTCCGTGCTTCAAGCCTGAAACTTTGAAGAACTTCCGTGATCGGTTTGTTTTGGATAAGAGTGAGCGCGATGCTGCTGAGTATATGCGTGAACTTGTGCGCAAGTCCTACATGAGTGTGTCGACCAAGGGTTATGATCAGTTCCAGCTGATGACCAACGGCATTCCTTACTGAATCCGATTTTATCTTCTTATTCGGCAATAAAATTGCATTTTAATATTACTTGATCTGGCTATTGTCCGTGGTTATCTCAATTTCGTACACTTTCTTGTTTCGATGACATAGTTCGAACTTCCCCCAACTCTAAATAAACCTCGGAAATAACAAGAAATAAGCTCATTACTCCACTTGGTAAATGCCAAGTGAGTTTATTGCCAGGTCGACAATCAAGTGTGGCTGACGTCACGACTCCGTCGTAACCACGACATCCTGACCCGTTTCGCTTCTTCCCCGTACAATTCCCCGGACGAATCTAAACATTGTTGAACTATAGAAGGCATCAACTAGAGGACAGGAAGCAACCTGCTCTCAAAGTAGAAAATCGACATCCAATAATGGGGTAAACATGGGCCTTGGTGAACTATAATCACACTCACATAAACAGGTCCCCACGGTGGCGTATCCAATCCATGACGGTTCCATTAGATCCGAGCATGTTCCGTCAGTGGCAATATGACGATGTAAAAACACGCCGGGATGAGTCCCTTATAACATGCAAGTGGCCGGGGCATAGATCGTACTCTGGTAGTTCGCACGCCGTTCACTCCATCTTGACCAATCCGGGGTTTTTGGTAACTGTAAACCCTGAGATTGATTCCTACTATAAATATTTGTTTTGGGCTTCATATTCAGGATGAAGATCCCTTTTCTCAAAAAGGCTGGCAATGACGGGCCCAGGTCTCCGCCATTGACTGATATATCGGGGGACTCGTCTGGTGGTGATCGGGAGAAGAGAAATGCTTCGATGGACGAAAGACATGTGCCTTGGGTGACGTGGCGGTCTGCGTTCCTTGGTGCATTTGTTTCCATCGGTGGTATTATCTTCGGATATGATACCGGTCAGATTTCAGGGTTTTTGGAGATGAAGAATTTCAAGGAGCGGTTTGCTCAGCTTCAGCCGGATGGAAACTATAAATTCAATAACGTTCGATCGGGGTTGATTGTTTCTATGGTATGTGGATTGGTCAACGGAGACAGGGCATTAAAGCTGACCTCAACTTTGTAGCTCTCCATCGGTACTTTGATCGGAGCCCTGCTCGCTGGCCCATTGACAGACCGGATTGGCCGGAAGTGGTCGATATTCTTTTGGTGTATCATTCTTCACGTCGGATTGATCATTCAGATCTCTTCGCCGTCGGGCAAATGGTATCAGATGATGATGGGACGGTTCGTTACTGGTTTCGGCGTAGGTGCATGCTCGCTCTTGGTGCCTATGTATCAGGGTGAGATTGCACCAAGGCATATCCGAGGTGCCATGGTGTGGTGAGTTTCCGGACGAATGTATTCGTGCCTTCCCAGCCCTAATATCATCGTATCAGTTCCTACCAATTGTTCGTGACGCTGGGTATCTTCGTCGCATACTGCATCAACTTCGGTACAGAGAAAATGGACAACTCAGCATCATGGAGAATCCCTCTTGGAATCACTTTCTTGTGGGGTCTTGTCTTGGGAATTGGCATCCTCTTCTTCCCCGAAAGCCCCCGATACGACTACCGTCACGGCCGCACAGACCGGGCAAAACGAACCATGTCCAAGCTGTATGGTGTACCCGAGGACCACAGGGTAATCATGCAAGAAGTGCTCGAAATCCAGGAGCAGCTGGATGCCGAGAAGGGATCTCGGGGTGGATGGCACGGCTGGATCGAGATGTTCCAGGGGCCGCGGATGATGTACCGCATCATACTTGGTGTGGTACTTCAGGCATTGCAGCAGTTGACTGGTGCCAATTACTTCTTCTACTATGTGAGACTTGCGCCAGTCGGCAGTGTTCATAACGACAACGAGAAGCTAACACCAATCAGGGGACGGTCATCTTCAACGGTGCCGGAATCAGTAACACATTTGTCACACAGATGATCCTGGGTGGCGTCAATTTCGGTACGACATTTGGTGGGTTGTATGTGATCGAGCACTTTGGCCGGCGTAAGTCGCTCATAACAGGCGGGATCTGGATGTTCATTTGTTTCATGGTCTTTGCCTCCGTGGGCCACTTTTCCCTGGATATCGAACATCCGCCCAACACCCCCGGCGCCGGTAAGGCCATGGTGGTCTTTGCCTGCCTGTTTATCACTGGCTTTGCAATGACCTGGGGGCCGATGGTGTGGGCGATTGTCGCCGAGCTGTATCCATCGCGGTACCGAGCACGGGCCATGGCCATGGCGACAGCCTCAAATTGGCTGTGGAACTTCCTAATTGGGTTCTTCACGCCTTTCATCACAGGTGACATTGATTTTGCGTATGGATATGTGTTTGCCGGATGTCTCTTCTTCGCGGTGATCATCGTGTACTTCTTTGTTATCGAGGGCAAGAGCAAGACCCTCGAGGAGATGGATATGATGTATGTTATGCGAGTGCCGCCATGGAAGAGCAGCAAGTGGCAGCCACCACCACCGGAGGAACGGCTTACCACCGATCAGCTTGTGGATCGAAAGGTGGCAAAGAAGTACAACAAAGAGGAGGAGAGTGCAGCGAGCAAGAAACAGGCAGAGATTCCCGGTCATGCTCATGCTGAGAACCCTGCAGATGATGCAGGGGCCGGGCCGTCGAACGCGTAATACGAGGTGTGAAGTGGTGTGAAGTGGTGGGATATGAGCCGAAGGGGGGAATGAAGAGGGGTGAACAATAAATAGGTTTACAGTATAGACTACTCATTTGAAGTATTCTAAGTATTTCAAGTCACTTAATTCATGTCAATTTGGTAGTCATATATCGGTGAATAGAAAACATCGACATCTCCAGGATGTAAATGGATAATGCTCAGAAAATGATAACGCCATTGTCCCCAAGGCTCAAAAGAAGATGTTGACCGTCCTCCCCTTTCCTCTTGATACATTGTACCTATTTGTCGATGGATAATGGGAAGACGCATGGGGATAGAAACCCAGGCCAGTCTGTGTACTGGCGAATACAGGGGAAAAAAAAACAAGAGATCAAAGGTCCAAAACAGCTCCAAATATACTTCCCTGAATGTAGAGCGCCAGGGGCTTAGTCCATAAAGTCGCCCCTGAGGATCTTCTCCTGGAAGAAGTCGGGCTTGTTCTGCTTGGCCTGTCTGGGCATTTCCCGACCGGGTTGCTCCATCGAAGCAATGGACGCGGCACGCTGGTGGTAGCCGGACTGGCGCTGTTGAGCCTGTGGGGAGACCGGGGCACCGAGCGAGGGAGCTCGTTCGGCACGGGACCGGAGGGCCTCGGACCAGTTGAAGCCTTCGCCTGTTGGTCGCCGCGATGCGTTAGATCTCTCATCCTGAGCTAAGGTTGAGGTACTTGCGGGAGATCGAGCAGCACTGAGGGCAGAGCCAGCCGGGGGAGAACGCGGCTTTGGCAGGGAGGGGGGTAGTGTCTACCATTGCCTGTGCTTCCACGTGCATCACGTAGTGCCTGTGCACCAAAGGAGACCCGTCTCGCAAATTGCGAGTTGGGGGATTCCTCTGCATCCTCCGCAATCGCGTCGTCGGTATTGGGAACGGAACCGAGCGAGCTCGAGATGCTGCCCCGGCGGAAGTTCTGGTTCCCAAAGGCTGTTTGGGTGGGAGATCCTGAGAGCCCCAATGTGCTGATGGACAGCCGGCGTTGGTTAGCCTGGTTGCTCTGGCTGGCCTGGTTGGTATTGCTTGACTTGGAGAAGATATCAGCGATGGAGCCCCGGCGATGGCGGTTCTCTGGGTTGGGAACAGAGATGGGAGAGGTGCGATCGTTCGACATGGTGGATGGCGGATAATGACTGGTGAATGGTGAATGGTGGATCTTAGGGAGGATCTGAGAGAAAGAAAAGAACCTCGGACGGACTAGCCGCCCTCTGCATATAATGTAAAAGTAGGAAGAGTGTGAGCTTGAGGAGGGTTGGAGAGCAAAAAGAAGGAAATGGGAATGTGTGGTGCCACGCAGGGGGAGGGGGTTGCAGAAAACAGTTAAGCTCAGGATCTGGGGTAGAGTGGCGTTAGTGGGGAGTGATGATGTCGATGATTCGGTCTTTTTTCTTAATCTACGAAGTAGTCTGTAGTTGTATGGTAGAATTGTATAATCTTAATTCTCTATAACCGTGACTATAATGTCTATAATGTCTATAATGTAAGCCTATGATCTTACTCATGGTGACTTCATACCTCCTATTACTTCAAAACATATCTACTACAGTTTACTACATACTACAATAGGGGAACACAGTGGAACGAAACTAGCGTGTGCGCGCATCATTTCCCGCATTAAAAAAAAGTAGAAAATTGACGTACATCGTATATTGCTCGTTTCCCGTTAAGAGGATATAATCCTTTTTGTGTCCAACCGGAAGACTCCCTGGGTCATTGACCTATAACATGAAGCCTTCAGGGAAGGTGAAATAGCTGAATCAGCTTCCGGCCGATCGTCGGCTCGATTTCGGTGCCATCACGGGCGATCTTGACCTCGCGATTCGCATTCCAAGGGTTGCGCAACCCTCGAGTACGGTGGAAGGGCACTCGCTCTGTCGATACCCACTGGATGCGGAATGGTTTGCCAAATGACTGTCCCTCCTCCGACTCGTCAGGCTCAACACTCTTCTCGCTACGGGTATCGTCGTTTTCGTCTCCGGAGGATTCCACCTCCCAGAATATTGTCCCTCGCGCCGAATCATCAATTATTCTTCCTCGGGGTGCCGTCGAAGTGGCTATTGTTAAGGTCACGTCGAGGTCGTCGGGGTTGCCGGGTGGAGGGTCGGGTCGTGGGGGTACTTCCAGGGCCAATTCTTCGTCATCGCTGATGGGCGATATCATGCGAGCATAACCAAAATACTCGCCCGACTTGTTGGCCGAGAAGATTAAATAAACGTTATCGGCGGTCTAATAAAGTCAGCCGGAGCCGTCGTCAAATGTGATCACACTCACCTCATAAGCTTGATTCATCGCCGGCTCATTATGTGACTGCGTGGCCCAAATGCCACTTTGCCCGCTCAACTCGAGATCCTCCACCGTCAAACTCTTAACAATAAAGTACCGATCCACCACCCTGGCAGGAGGTGGTTGCTGTCCCGTAGCTGGCGATGCAGAACTGATCTCCGATGTAATTGTAGGTTCATCCCCGGGTTCTGTTGCAATATCCTCCGGCCGGGGACGAGGATTCACTGAAGAAGCCGTAGGCGTAGAGCCAGGTGCAGAAAATCCCTTGCGTAGTCGACAGACAACACGCACACCCTGAAATCGGGAGTCGTGGAATCTTGCCAACGCCGTCACACAAGCTGCAGCCGACTTGTAGTTCACAAAGGCACAATTGCTTTTAGAGATCAAAAACACACTCTCGATATCGTTGGTCGCATCCTGCGAGAAATGATCCTTGAGATCCATCACATTGGCACCAGGGGGGAGATTGCCGACCCAGAGGGCATGTCCTGATTGTTTCGGTTTCCGGGGTGGTCCTCGGGGCGTGGTCGGGGTGGATTGAGTGGAGTGTAAAGAGTTGTCTGTAATAAACCCCAAATGAGGTGGTTAGTGACTATGCTTAGGAATAAGAGGTCGAACACTTACCTGAGGGAAGCGTTTGAGGTACCGATTTCATAGGGTTTGAGCCGTCCACTATCGTCTTAGAGACATCGTATTCCAAATCCGCAACCCGCTTATCGACTTCCTTTCGCAAAGAACCCGGTTTCGGAGATTTGTGTGCATGGGAGATTGACCCGGGCTGGAGCATTTGACCAGCAAGCGGCACTCCACAGGGAGCACCATAGGCCGACTGAGGATAGTAGCCTGAGCCATATGGCGGTGCCTGTGCTGGACCGACACTTTGCATGGATGGATTTGAGACATACGGTTGGTAATGAGTGCCATGTTGAGCCTGGCCAGGATGTTGTGGGATCGCATATGGCGGATAAGCTGGGTAAGGGACGGCATACGCCATGCCTCCGGTATTATGTCCATATGGAGCCATAGGTATGGGCGGCATGGGATACATCATACCCTGTCCGTGAGCCGGATATTGAGACATTTGTTGTTCATATTGCTGTGAATGATGACCTGGGAGTGCGTATGCCATGCTGCCCATGTTCATGGGAGAGGGATTCGGATTGTTTCCATAGCGGGCTTCTGTGAAGCCAGAATGATGCCTGGCATTGGAAGGTCGCGTGGATTGAACAGGTGTTGCACCTGTAACGGGGAATTTTGTCAATACCTTCCTGCGCGGCTGGGACGAATGGTTTAAAGAAGATCGCACCAGGGATGACTGACCCGGTGTCTGAATTTGCCTCGCAGTTGATTCTGATACCGAGTTCCGGTCGGATGTCTTGTCTGGAGGATCATCGCCCATGGGGGCCGCTGTTGACAAAGATTGGGCAAAGAAGATGGCTCTCCCTACAGTAATTTAGTTATAAGATTCAAGACTCAATGTATCATTACTGTCTTACCAGTTGAGGAGCCTCAAGGCTCGGTTCTACTCCCAAATTGCACAGGCGTGAAAACGACCAGCAATTGTCCACTCAAAGATCAAAGGTCAAAAAAAGAGAGTAAATCAAGGGCACCAATTGATCGAAAATGAAGACAGTATTCCTGAATGTAGCACTGAAGCCCTGTTCAACAAGTTAGTAAGGCCAGAGAGTTATCGAAAAGGGGAATGAAAGTGGGAAGAAATTCAAGGGGGGGGGGAGGGAGTCCGAGTTGTATTCGCACTAAGGGCCCTGGGAGTGCTCCCCAGCCCATGGGGAATAATAAAAAAAGCCAGGTGGGACAATGAAGATATAAACAAGGAATTATAGAGGGAAGCGGTCGGTATCGGGATTGCACCGGGAAGGGGGATTTAAGGGCAAAACACTAATGTTCCAGGGCTATGGAGCCTGAAGATCCGAAGCTTGATGACTTACAATCTCCTAGGGCTATATCCCATATGTCTCATATATCGATATAACCTTGCACGTGAGACTGTGTGACTGACACAGGTCTGGACAAGAGGGGCAGAGCCCTTGGACATAAAACAAAGCCGAGGGGTGTGGCTGAAGAAACACGCACACACTGACCCAATTTGGGATAGAAGGAAAATATCTCCCTTGGGGAGAGCTGCGGGTGTTCAAAACCCAGATATGGGAGCTGTCAGACTAAAGGAAAAAAGGGGAGCCGAGGTGCCTGAAATAAGGCGAGAGAAGAGTGGCGGATAGATGGCAATGTGTCTATGGAGGGGGAAATGAAGCCAATCAACTCTCTTGGCAAGCTGTGGCTGATGGACTTATGTCAATGGCTTAGGGTCTGGCGAAAGAAAGAAGAAAATACTAAAATAGAAATTCGAATTTGTATACAAAAAAAACGACACTCACGGGCTGAGCCGATGATCAAGAGAGCTTGGGTTCTGAAGTCTATAATGGGTCAGTGCTTGAAGACTGGAGACCGTCAACCATACCATATAGTCCTATAAGGCTCTGCTGATCTGGGCTCAATGAGCGACGTACCACTCAGGATCTGAATTGTAGACTTGGCGAACGGAGCCTGAGGATCAGAATTTGCCAGGGCCCAAGTACCAGGACCGTGTCATTAATCTGCCACAATGCCCACCGTGGCGAACGCAGATCGCGGAATCTTCTACCGGAATCTGGATGGGGCTAGAAAGTGTCTTGGAGAGAACATGGTCGAATGGGTGAGTCTCGAATCTGGGCCAATGAGTGCCATGACTATGGCAGCAATGCATAACAGACTTGCCAATGCTAGTAGAACCTTGGGGAAGTGAGAAAATCAAATGGAAAGGCAAAAAATAGAAAAATTAGCTGATTACTAGGCCTGGAATGATCTCCGTGCAGACAAAAATTCCCGTCAACTCGGGGAGAAAATATCGTTGGATCCGACGGGCGGCGCCTCGAAGACCGCAAGAGGAAGCCATGGGCCGACAAAATGTTATGTTCTGGTACACTCCCACTAGGCTCGATCATGATTCCGCCAATAATCAGCGTTGGATGAATCGGCTCCAATCACGCTTTCACGAGCATCCTGTTTGGGAGTTGACATGCTTCGGGTTTGACCTGTATTTGCCACAGAGTGGCAGGATCCAAGTGCTTTCGGGAGCATTTGAGTGTGGAGTACACGGAGTACCTCATATCAGTGAGTCTGATCAAGTACCACAATTGAACAAAGTACTTACAACAGAGTTGTCAAGGGCGAAGTTGAAGTTGACTCCACTTGTAGACCGGCATCTCAGCCCAGCCAATCAGAGAGCCGCATTTACAACTACATCAACTACATCCAATTCTCCTCTACAAGACCCCTTCAATTAGTGTACATTATTATCCTTAGGTTTTCTTGCGTGTACATGTTTGTAATCACATGCAATGGAGCCCTGGAGATCATGTCCTACAATGTACAGCATACCCAATGGGTCTATATTCATTCTGGACCAATAGGCGTCGCACAAAACAGCCAGTCAATACGCTGTGGATTGTGGAGATTTGCCTCTCAAGTTCCAAGGTACCTTACATGTGCCGATCAACCCGTAGAGACGCGGGCCGTTCCCAGTGGCATCGGAATCCTTTACCTGGGCACATATACAGTTGTGATTTCGGATTCGTTAGTCACGAAGCTCCGGAGTCTTTCTCCGGACCCTTTTGTCTACGTATAACATACGAAGCAACTTAAAGTCTGGGACTCGAATTGGATGGGCTTATGATTGACGCCAAAGTGGAGGGCCACTTACGTGGTAAACGCACTCCATGTACAGTAGGGCTCTTCTAGCATCTTCCAGACATGCAAAGGATCATCAGGTGATTAGTCGTAAGTGGCGTAGCGTCTGGGGAGACACCTGAGGCATATATGACGTCACCATCTGATATCCTACACCCTTAACCTCACCTGTTGATCTCCATATGCATCTTCAGTATGACACCATAGCATCTTACACACTTTCTCCAGGTATGAAGACCGAACGGTCTCCAACCAGAAATCTGAGCTCAGATGGGACCATCCTGATACCTGAATACAGCACTCTGTATACTGTACACAACGGATTGCTATAGTGTCAGTGTTACCGCCTATCATCCTGTCCTAGTGACCAATCAACACAGCCCCATTCCTGGATGGGCAATCAGAAACGAGCAATGTCTTCCCACTATCAAAACAGTCAATCCTAGACCCAATCTGGCAGATCACTGTTACTCCCTCCACAGCCACCACAATGGAAACCCTTACCTAGCCAATTGACGGAGTAGAACATATGGATCTACCTTGTCAGGGACCACTTTCCATATCTCCATAGCAAACTGCCGGCCGTGGCCCCTGTCCACCGCTGGCGCCACGCCCCACGGATTTACAGGTTTGGACCATGATTATCGTCAGCTGCTGGGTCTTAGGGGCCCGCGATCTTGCCACTATTAGGCAGCTTCGTTTCTACAGAGCACTCGCGTGCCTTCGAGTAGATGCCAATTCATGGACGTTGCGCGGATGGCGTGTGACTTGGATACTGAGCCGCTAAATCCACGGCGCTACCAAAGCTCTTACAGCGGCCTTGGGCATTAATGTTTTCTCATAGTTATAATTGATTCGGGTGAGACTCGGGGTGAGACTCGGTACAGACTTAGGCAGTATAAAGCTTTTGACTTAGTATATACATATATACAAGACATTGGGGAGCCGTGCTTTGCAAGACTTCGACCTCCGCCCCTAGAAACAATGATAGGTATATAGTTGGCTACCCATAAGCATCACTCTTAAAGCCCTGCTCAAGCATGGCTAAAGAATATTGGCCTGGAAAAAGCGCCGGAAGTCGACCGTTTTGATGGGGTAAGATTCTCTCAGAAAACTTTACATGGGACTACTAGTAAAGAAGGACTATCAGAGGTATTGGAAAGAATGGCAATGGCTGAGCACGTTTAAACCATCCCATCTCTAGATTCCAAGGAAACTATCCGCGTAAGACGGTATTTCAAGCCAATATCAAGAATTGACAGAAGAGAAAGATCCTCCACCTGAACCCAAAAGTAAAAGACACAAACCAAGCCGAGGATACAACACCACAGGCCAGACAAACAGGGAAAAAATAGTCATCAGACGGGAATTTTCATGCGAAGCTCATTAAAACCTGATATAATTACGATTAGGCGCGCAGCCGATGTGCTAAGCGGATATAGACAGTGAAAGGCGCGGAGGGGTGCCATTATCGATCGATGCCAAGCGAAGCCACCTTCCCAGCGAAGCGGGCTCCGGCGCTGCCTCGTTTGGACAGCTTCTCTCGGTCTTTTTCCTTGCTTTCTGCGAGAGTGGGGGTATGTGAGGTGGAGGCAACACTGTCCTTGCTGCGGATTGTGGGGAGAGAGCCCAAGGTGTCGGCAGCTGTGGCCCGGCCGGGTGGCGGGACAGGGGTGCTGAATGCGGATGACCGTGCAGTCCGTTGGCTGAGGTACAACTGGGCTGCGGGGGACAGCGGGATGGAGGGGGTTGGGGCGGGATCTCTGCACCGTTTTGGACTAGAAGTTCGGCGATCGGGAAAGGGATGGCCTTTGCGCTAGACCTAGCGGAGAGAGTCACCGGTGTGGAGCCCGGGGATGCAGGGTCGGCTGCTGCGAGAGCGAGGAAGGTTGCATGGGTGTTGCGGGAGCGGTCGGTGATATTGACATTAGCGCGAAGGGCAAGGCCGTAGAGCACACCTTGGATGTCGTTTTTCTTGATCGAAGCAAGAAGGTGCTCGTCAGGTGTTGCAAAGCGAGAGCGCGGTGAGGGAAGACCCTCAACATAGGATCGGTCAACATATTTAGCGGTTATGAACTTGAGACGTTGCTCGCGTGTAGAGGTGGCGTTTGGCTTGAGGGTTTGGTCCAAAGTCGCCTCCCAGATCATGTTGCTAACGCGGTTGCCAATCTGCAAGAGAATCTCGACGATATCGTTCGAGAAAGAATGCACATCCAATGTGAGCGAGCGGATCTTGGATATATGCGTCCCCAAAGACCGATGAATCCCGCTGCATTCAATGCAGAGTACAATACCCAGGTTTATCGACACCCACTCTACCTTGGAAGATGATCCGCAGTCAGCGCACCAGTTGTTGCCTTGGTCTGCATCTCGTACGACCTGCAGAAGTTTTGCGGGGTTCTCTTCAAAACTGTTGCTGTCGTGGCGGACGTAGCTCGGCCGCGCCCCGACTGTGGTGCGTCGGTTGACGCCGGCGTTGCTTGAACTGGACGAATAAGAGTGGTGACCAGAAACAGACGAACTCTTCCCAGTGAGAACGGACCCAATGTCCCGACTGGTGGATGAATCCTTGGAAGAAGGGGGCGGGGGCGGAGTTCCTTGGCCTTCTACGGCGCTCTGGAGCGCATTGTTGATAGACCTGATCCAATTCGACATGTCATCTTCGGATGTGGCTTGGTAGATACGCTTGAATTGAGGCGTGATCACTTCAAAACAGAATCGCCGCTCTGCATTGCGAGCCTCACGGACAGACGCCATACGCAGATCGATGGGCTCCATGTGGAGGTCCAGCTTCTGTTTCCAGTTGCTGTATTCGGACAATCTCCCTTGGTCCAACACGATCCAAAACCTATTCGAATGTTAGAAGAAGAAGGGGACCATTTTGAGTGGGTACTTACTTGTGCCATGCCTGTTTATTGATCCCCTTCGGATCAATGTGCGATCCTGGGCGAGATAATGCCCACAGGAGGCCCTCTTTTCGCTGCTGGCCCCCGCTTCGATCAGACGAGAAACTATTCTGTTCCTCGAGATCACGGATACCCTTGAAGCGGTTCTGGCCTGTGTTTCCAGCTGACGCTGGATTTGATGCAGGGGCACATACCCCAGACGACGACACAACTGATCCTGCATTTGCCTGGGAAGAGACTGACGAAGTGTTGCTTATGACACCTCGGAGCTGCGAACCTGTGCTATCCGCCCGGCCCAGCTCAACCTCAGTAGAGGCACCACCGTTGGCCGTTCCTGCCGAAACAGAAGGCAAATTCGCAGTCCCGGTCACTGTGGCATCGGGTTCGAGGTATGGATTACTATTCTTTTCCAGATACCGGCGCTTCTCTTCACGCTCAGTCCGCTGGAACTGAAACTCTTTGTCTGCCTGGTTCACCTCGTGGATGAGAGCGTCCAGTTGAGGAGTCATGCCCTCGACCTTTTGTGCAGCTGCCAAGAAGTTCTTGGCTTGGAAATCCGCGTACTTGGTGAGGTGCGAGAGGACTTCTTGCTCTTTGCGACCCCCGTGGAGGTCTTGCATAAACGATGAGTAGTCAAAACGCCTCAGTTCGAAATTTCGCCGTTTGGCTTGATATTTCGAGTCACTTTCGGCCCGTTTCTTCTCTTTCAGTGAATCCTGTCGCTGGCCCAGATACCGACTGACATAAGCATAATAGTCACGGCTCTCTTCATCCCATTCTTTCTTTTTGGCCTCTGCTTGCTTGATATCATTATTATAAAGCTTGATCAAGGGTTCAATGACGAGCTTTTGCAGTTGGATTGTGTTAAGCTGCTCGTAATTCAAAATCTGCCGAGCGATCTTTTCGAAATAATGATCTAGAGCGGGCTGGATGGCATTCGCATTTGAGGTGGATGCATCATTCAACGAACCCAGGAATGCTTCCATGGCCTCGTTGCAGCTAGTTTGCGCCTGTTGGGCGGCCTCGGCCTTTTTCAGCACCTTCTTGATTTTTGTGCGCATGTTTCCTGTCTTCAATTCCAGTGCCTTCATGGTCGCGCGAAATAGCGGGCCATCCTCCACCCCACTCATATCATCTCCAGCCCGAGAAT